TTTATATCATTAAATAATGATTATGATTGTCTGTCCATATTGTAGGCTTAATGTAATTATGATCTTAATATTTTTTAATTGTGTATGATTTTAATATTGTTTTGAGTGACTACACTTGGCAGTCTCCTTAATATTAATTGTATTCATGAAATGTCAGTGAGAATTAATCTCTCTCTTTCTCTCTCTTAAATGTTGGCCTTGGTATGATGATGTTTTAATAGATCATCTGTCATCTAATCCCCTCCCCCCTTAAAAAAAAAACTGTCCTCAATTAAAATTACTTTTATTATTATTTTTCTCAATATACGTAAATGTTTTATTGTTTTTAAGGCAAGTCCAAGTTAATTTGTTCCAAATATGACCAACCAAATGTAAGATTTGAGTATATCTGATAACTGTGTCAAGCTGAATTTTTTTCTAGAACTTGTATCAGATACAAGTATTTAAAATTATATTATGTCAATTGAATCTATTCATGTCGATGATTCCATCCTATGATACCTGATAACGACTTTATTATATGGGACATACCTTGGAACTAATAAATGGAACTTGTCCATTTCTTAACGAGGAGACTACTCTAATCTAATGCTTGGGTACCAAGGTGGGTAGAATCATGGACCTACGAATGCAAGAAGGTTGGTGGCCTAAAACTAGAGATCAGACTAGCCCTAGATTCCAGTGTTATCTTCCAGAGTATCAGAAACAGCTGTGTTATGGCTACGCCCAGTTACCCTACACCCCAGACATTATAAGTGCAGTCTTACACCACAGACGCTGAACTTTAAAACTAGTTTGTTGCTGGTATACTCATTATTATATACATTTAGCTAGTTATGTCAAACTTGAACAAAAATGTATACATCAAATTGCATCCCGTATGAGTCCATTATTAAATAACAAGATTGGTATAGACTATAGATAGAAAACTTTGATTCTGGTCAGTTTGTGAAATACATAGGAATTACTGACCCATAAATTTGAGGATGTACATGTATTTAGAGCACTTTATTTCAAGAAGATTCTTATTACTAACATTCTCTTTACTACTTTTACTGAGTGAGTGGGTATCAGTTGGCCTACTTGATGTGTAATGCATTGTCAGGCTCTATATATAACTTTATAATTGGGAAAATTACACTTTTCTTCTCCAATAATCCAAGATGCTCTAAGAGTTAATTGTGGCATCACATACAAATTCATGTCTGTCTTTGTAGACTATGCGTGCAATGGAGCATGTTGTGATAATGAGCTCCCTGTAGGCGATTTAAGGTCAATACTTGACCTCAGCAGTACATGACCCAGTGACCTTTGACTGGAAATAAACAGAGTGATTTGTTTATGAAAGTATCCCATGGTTACATGCTAGTCTTCAGGTACAGGCCTTGTTGACATTTTACCAAATTCCATGTAGTGACTTTAACCTAACTTAAATTTTTCAGTGGCTGTCTGTAAGGCTACAGCTTATGGGCCTATTTAAAGCTAGCCAAGTGAATCTATTTGATTGAATATTAAAAAAGAATGTATCGCAAACACAAGCATTAATCAGATTTTATAATTAACATGACCTGTCAAATGTCTCCCAGTGCAAGAGACTAGAGTTTCATTCGTGTTGAATTTTCTACATCTAGCACAAATCAGCCACATATGAAATTCTGCGTTGGTGCAGTTGTTGGCTTATTTACAATTTATGTCCATAAAAGGTGAAAAATAGATTATTAAAGTTTTATTTTTTATGGAAAAATTAGGGCCCTGTATTTAATTTGGATGTTACATTTGTCATTATCAGCGGTACCTAAAGAAAGAAATGTTAAGTGTTTCCTCAGTGACCTTTGGAGTGTTGAATACTTGATAAGAGAGGGGATATTTAGTGCTCCCATAGGCCCGTGCAGGACCATCAAGTATTCATCCTATTTCTTGAGTGAGATGTGACTTGAATTAGTAGGCATCACTAGGTAGGCCTACATACAATGTACATCTCATCTTCTTTATACATGTTGGCCTACATGTATCTATACAAATGAATGGACTGTGTTAACCATGGATGTGAACCCATGGGGAGATGTTCCTCCCATGTGTTTGTTATTACCCCCCCCCCCCTTTTTTTTTTAAAGTAGACCTATATTTTATAATGATGTAAGAGAGGGGCATATGTAGCTAAATCATGTTTCAGTATCTGTGCTATTGTTGCAACAAAATAATTAATGTATGGAAACCTGAGGTTCACTTAAAACGGAATGGGTCAAAAACATGTTCATCATCATTTTGAGTCCTCACACATGTACGTCCCTATATCTAGCAAAGTTGTATAAACAATATTGAAAATACAATATAAAGAGAGATGGAGAAAGAGAGAAAGAATTCAAAGAAAAATGACACCTTCTTGAGAAACTGATTTGTATCAAGGGAATTAGAAAGAAACCAAACAGCAGGGAGCAGTGAAGAAATGATAATCTTAAAATAATTCATTTTCTTAAAGAAGAACAAAATCAGCAAAATATAAAAATACTCAACTGGTGTTTCAATCTCACTATTGTGCAGAGATACATTTATTACTCCCACTGCTGTGTGGAAGATCTAGAGACGATGGCCTCAACGACAGGTGGTCTGTGATCCTTACTGGATTGATGGACACATGATATTAAATTGGCAGCTTGATTTGTTATCATTTATCAAGCATTACCATGATACAAAAGGTTGGGTGTTGGATGCAAGTCCATATTTTATGTTTTCTGGTCTCCTGCTGGAGACTTCCAGATAATGGAAAGATGAAAGTGCATTGTATCCTGTTAGAAATCTCCTGTGATGTATTTTGTACAGTATGTATGTCATTATTAAAATCATGTCACATTTGTGTGGATGTAATGATAATGATATTAAACATGATTGCACTTTAATACATGTACCATATAATTTAATACTGCAATTGTAATGATTTCTACCCTTCTTACATTAATTAGTCTCAGAGACAGCTCTATCTTGCTCTACATCCCCACCCCCTCTATCTCTCTTTTAATGAGATGAGCTTCCACCAACCACCCCCCTCCCCCACCCCACCCCCCCCCCCAAAAAAATGATTTGAATTGACCCCTAATATGTCAAAATGCCAAAACTTGGGAATTTTTGAGAAGATCCTCTTCTCTAGGACAACTTGAAGTGGAGATGGTGCATACATTACTTTAAAAAGAAATGTCATGTTAACAATGCAAAAGTGATACAAGAATATTATGGCCTTGTGCTCTAGTGTATTTTACAATGAAACATATAGCAGCTTTTATACAGAGGGAAACTTCTGAAGCCATGACACTACTTAAAGTGAGCCATCAAAACAGAGCAGGAAAGAGGAAGGATGTGAAACATTTCCTCACGCTAATTTCAATTTAATATTGTTGATTTTGGAAATCCTTTTCCATGTGATTGACATGCGAGGGTAATGGCGGACAGATTGAGCTGTTCTTTCCTGCTTCGACAGTATTTATTCTACAGATTTGTCTTTATTTTCATTGGCATGGATACGTGTCTGTTTGTATCTGACATTGCAAGAAACTCTGGAATATTATTAATGTAATAAAATTGAATCTACCAAACAAAATGTTATAGTTTGTATGTATAGAAAAAGAAATGCTGCAAGTTGAAGGTCATTTGTAACTTTTTTTTTATTTTGAAGAAGAATAAAAATTAATTAAAATATATCAAAATGACTGAACTTGCGAATAATAAAGCCTAATTTATATTCTAGAACAGTAGAGTTAATTATAGATTGTGAACAATCAATGCATCCAGAGAAAAAAGAAGAAAATGGGTGCAGCTGCTTTTATTTAAAAAAAGATTGTACCTTTAGCCAAGAAAATGTGATTCATGATTGTTTATTTAAATAATATACCTCTCAAAAGAAACATTCTTAGAGCATTAGAACATCCTGTGTTTATTCTACAATAAACAGGAATAATTGAAGTATTTGTGCAGGCTGTCATTCCCTTCCGCTTGGCTCTTAGCTGTCTCCATTCTCTATTCTACTTTCAAGCATGTTGGCTATTAATTCTAATTACAAGAAGACTTACATGTCAATGATATTAAAATGAAAAGTATTGCCGACATGAATGTATGGATGCCAGTCAGGCAGTTGAAGTTTCATGAACATTACCTTGTAATAAATGAGTCACGTTCTGAAATATATGTAGATTGCATGAAGTAGGAACATGCTTTGATAATGAATGTTGCCTAAGGGTACAATTTGTATGTACTGTACATGTACGTAATTCTAGGAAGCAATTATTTATGATGGGTAGCAGAGAGGCCTTCGATGTAGTTTATCTCTTTTAGATGCAAATACGCGTACCTATACAAAGTACGATATGTCTGTTGTGTAATTTTTGTTATTGTCAGTGATCCTTGAAAACACTTTAAAGCTAAATGATTTAGCATCATATTCATGTCTATTGTGGTCTTTGCTAGTTTCAAAGGGAATATAATCGGTTAGAATTTTTTGCTCTGGACCAATGACATGTTCTGTATTACATCATAAAACCTTGGAAAAAGAAAAATTATTTGAGCATACATGCAAGGTGCCTTGATATAGAGGTATTACCCTTTAATAGCTGGTTTAACATCTAGGGCAAAATTTCAGAATGTCTGACTTGGTTAAATGCGGTATCTCACTGAGCGGCAAATGCTTGCGAACGTAGTGATTAAGGGGTTTTGTCAGGGTTCGTCAAAGGTTGCAAAAGGTTTGTAAAAGGTTTCAAGAAAGTTCGCAAACAGTTTTCATTGTTGCAAACAGAAATTTAGAACATGGACAATTAGCAACACCCTGATTTTCGCCAACATTTGTCAGAAAAGTTAGCGAATCCAAATTCGTAACGTTCATAAGCATTCACCGCTTTAGATACCCCCTCAAGGGATAACTCTCAATGTAGAGCTCTGGAACAGCACTATCAGCAGGTTATGCTAATCATGTTGTCTCTTTGTTTTGTCCCCTCCTGTTTGTCCCCTCATCACAGGAGGACATGGGTCTGACCGGTGAGAAGGCTGCTCCTCTCCGCTCCAGGGATATGAAGATGAAGAGAGACATGGTGCTTCAGTACATGAAGAGACAGGGTCCATCGGCTGCGGTAAGTACAGGCATCCTGTATGTCTTCAAAGGCATCTTTGGAGATCTCAAAGACATTTGGTTTGTAGTGACAATTGTTCCATGGACAATTTCCTACACTAACCAAATCCTGTACTTAATCTTGGATTAAGACTTAAACTTAAAAGTTAGAAAGGCTTAAATATTCACTCCTGAATGATTAACACCTATAAACCTAAACAACAACAACAACAACAACCTACCTTACAATGCAATTGCAGGCATAAACTAACCCTGTATATATATATTTTGTTCCTATTTTCACGAAGTGATGGTAGTGAGGAAAATCTGCACGCAAAATTGTATGCAACTTTCATTCACTACTGTCACTTCATGAAAATAGGGACGATTTGATGAAATATTGGTAGAAGAAATGTCACGTCACCAAGTAATTGCAGTCATATTTCTTTCAAAGGGACTTTTACTTTTAGTTTTGGAAGGGAGCAGATGGGAAGTCGAGAGCAATAGGTGACACGAAGTGAAAGTGACAATGCTAGAAATTCAATGTTTGAAGTAAATGGGGGGAAGTGAAAGCGTGATATTGTAGTCACATGACGGCTTTACCAAATTCCTTTGTCATCATATGCTTGTTGATCTTCAAATCATGTTGGTAGCAACTGCAGATTTTGGAAGGGGAGATCTCTACAATGCTCAAAAGACATGGGCACAGTCTATTTTTTATCCGGGAACTAATAACAAAGCCCTTGTTAGTCTGCACATAGCTTTTGAATGTGTGGCAGAATGGGGCGCTTACTCCTTGCAACGTACATCCATTTCAATCAAAGATGTATTTCTGCCAGACATGACAATATAACGATCAATCCACTGTGCACAGTGTGGGATGGTATGGATGAGGGAGGATGTCTGCGTGAGAGCAATAGCAATATTGCGTACCTCAGGAGGGAGGTAGTCATGTTATGACTTGGGGATGTAGGGAGAGCAATCGAGCATTATTATGTACCTTCAGGGAAGATTTTCATACTTTAACTTTGGGGTATATATGGGAAGCAACATCAATATTCTATACCTTAGGGGGAGATCGTCCTACTTTGTCTTGGGTAGGAAGAAGAGCGATAACAGTATGATATACCTAAGGGGGAATACATGTATGTCTATGCTTTATCTTTGGGGTGTATGGAAAGCAAACATATGATTGCTTGATTGATTGACTTTCCAGTCTGGAGATGGAGGGGGCTTTAGATTTGGGATTTTAATAGATAGCTTATTTCGCAGTAGGTCCATGCTCACGCACTGTTATTTCTTTAAAGGGACCTCCTCAGAATCGACATTCATTTTATACCCCGAAAACGGAGGGGGGGGGGGGGTTACTATTTTTATTTATTTTTTGCGAGCGATGGCTGCAGCTTTTTTTAACAAGCCTAAGGTGAATATTTAGTATTCAAAATCAATCTACATTATTATGGATGACAAAACAACCAAAACAAACAAACAAATGAAACAAACCAGGATTCAATATTTTCCTCTGAAAGATTTTAAATGTTGATATGTGGGTCATTTTTGTCCTGCTAGTGATAATACATGTACCTACAGTACATACGGACTGTACACTAAAGCGAGCAATTCAGAATTGAAGCACTATACTGCTCTATTCAAAGATGACTATTGAAAGCAATTTTCTTCAATCTCAAGATCTAATACCAGAATGAAAGGCTACAGCCATTAGAGCTCCGACTTGATGTCAAGATTTATTAGTGACAAGGCACTGCCCATATAGGAAGACATCCTCCAAGGCATAATTTAACATGGATTATTGATGATTTATGTCTTCATAATTTGAGCGAACACTTAAAGGTTATATCTCCAGTGAAGATTTAATCACTTAATCTGTTATGCAAATTAGTATCTTGAGTGAAAGCATAATAAAACATCTTGATTTCATTCATCAGCCCAGGGCAGGATTAAGATTGATTTTTTTTTTTTACCCGAGCGCTAAGAATTAAAGCTCTCAAGGAACTAAGAGAAGGAGATTGAGTACCGGTAGTGGTAAAAGGAAAAACTGAGGGGCAAGCATTCTATAAGTCTGTCAAAAAAAAAAGAGATATGCATAGCACACTTCATTCATGTATTTCTGTATTTTATAACTCAAAGAGTGCTTGTAGGGCCATGATTTGGCATATTTATGTATTTTATCCATTAAAAGTTCCTGCATGCTATTCATTGTTTAAACACACTAAGTTATTTCTTATTTTGGGGGAGAAGGGGCTGCATCTTTCTTTTTTTAAATAGGAGAATGAAAAGTTTGTTTGGGTGATTCAAATGGTCATGTCTGAATGAGCCACAAGGGCCGTTTTTCATCAGCTTGCGTTTGCCAAATAACCCGCTATTTTCAGACTCAGGATATTATCCCGAAGCTCGAAATTCTGCCTTTACCAGACTGATACGCTCACTACAAACTAGCTCTGACAGGCACAAATTAGCCAGCTATTTCTCGAATAATGGGACATATTGGAAAATGGAAAGAAGTCCAAGATTTCTCGGGATATTTTCTCGACCAAATAGCCTGGTAATTGCAACTACTGGGTGATGAAGACGCAAATTAACTGGTTGATTTGCGATCGGGATAGTTTAAATAGTGAGTTATTTGCCAAACTCAAGCTGATGACGCCAGGCCTATAGTGATTGAATTTTTTTGTCAGTCCAATTTCAAACCCTGAAGCTGACAAACCCATCTCTCTCTCTTTGCACTTTCCAGGGGCGGAACGACTCCCAGATGAAACCCGGTGACTACGTGGTCGAGCTGCACAGCACCGCTGCCAGTGATACCGGCAGATACCACTCTATCCTCAGCTCCCTGCGTGTGTCCCTCACCAGTAACCCTATCAGCTGGGTACAGCAGTTTGGAGAGAAGGGGCTGGATGTCATCCTCAAGATTCTTGCGGAGTACAATCAAAGGTTTGTCTCCTAGAAACTGGTATTCACATTGTTTACATGTGTTTGCACAAGTCCTTGTGGTAGTAAATGTGAAAGCCATTCTTTATATGTGGTTCTAGATCACTTCAATGCTTCAATATCTTATTCACTTTAATAGATCAAGTAAAAATTCTAGTACCAGTAGTAGGTATCTGAAAGTACAAGCAAAATCCAGCAAAGAATAGAGTGTTATTATTTTAAAGGTATGAAAATGTTATTTTATTGAAATTAAAGCTTCCATCACGTTTTCAATGTTGTCTGACCATGCATGGACCTACTACCTGACCCCATAAAAAACAAATAGTTCAATAGAAATAATCAATTTAGTTTCTTTTGATGTGGTTATGGTACCATATTGAAACAAAATTTCTTTATTAGACCTCACATTAATTCTTGTTTTCTCTTTTTTCCTCCCAACAACTCTTCTTGTTATAATATTTCTGCATTTAGGGACGGAAAGAAGTTTGCAGAAGTGAGGCACGAATGTATAAAATGCATCAAGGCGTTCATGAACAACAAATATGGGATCCAGACGGTATTCGCCAAAGTCCGGGCCATTACCCACATAGCATCAGCACTAAATCCACAGCACGAGAACATGACGATCGATGCCACCAAATTGTTAGCTGCCGTCTGCTTCGTACCACCTGATGGGTAAGTAGTGATAGACAGATGGTAGGACGATGAAGCAGGGAGAGATGCAAGAAAAGATCTGGGCCCTGTCTTACAAAGAGTTGATATCAGTCACAACTATGTACATAAGAGATAGGAGACTGCAAACTTGCGATTGATTTGAGGACTTGCAAAATCAATCGTAACTCTTTGTAAAATGGGGCCCTGAAATATGTGAATCTAAAAAACACAGAAACTGGGCATTGCATGAAACTTGAAGAATGCACTGGGAAATCTTGCTGCAAAATAATTGTAATAAAACATTCATTTTGTTTAGTTCTTACTAAGGTTCTGTGGCTTTAGGTTATCAACTGTCAAGTCTTCAGCAGAGTTTGGGGAAAATGAATTCTCAAAAAAATGTTGCAGAGTTAATAATTAAAAGTAAAACGTAAGAGAGTTGTTGGTATGGTTCCCTTTCTTACATGTTAACTGACTACCTCTATATAGGAAGTATGTATTTAGCAGAGATGTGGGAAATGAACTCTCAAAAGTTTCATTGCAGAGTAAGTAAGAAAGGACTTCTTGTTCTTGTTATGGTTCCCTGTCTTAGGTTCCTAATTATCCATGTGAATTAGGTTGTCTTTCCGCAGAGATTGGGTAGGTGATTGTAAGGATCAGTTTTAATAAGGTCAATGCCCTTTAGTTCAGAAATGGTGTCAGACTTTCAAACTTAACAACAACCAAAACCGTTATCTTGCAAACAATGTGGGCGCAGGCCTCGATGGGCTACATGGCCGACAGAGTTCAGAAAGAAACCTATATTTTAAGAACAAACAAACCACACATTTTTCAAGGTAATTGGTTTACTGGCATCCATTTCCTGGGCACAAAGAGTTTGGAAACAAAACAAATAACACATTTATGAATAGTAATACAAACAAATGAAATAAAAAATAACATCCACATGTTATTGAAGGTTATCTATCTAGTTGTGCTGTTGGGAAGTGGCGCCACATTGCTCTGTACGTACTTCCTCTGTCAACTTCCACGGTCCTCACCCTCTCTCGATTTAGTTTTGTTTTGACATCGCAGTAAAGCCACAAATATATTGCATACAAATAATATGTGTTTAATGTGATTATCACCTAGTATAAATACCAAACAGTTTAAAAGCAAATACCAATTACAAACAAGAAATTCCTTACAGGCAGTTACAGGTCTGATAAGCTGTGGTGACTGTGGTCTGAAAAATACATGAACACATCTTTCATCGATCTACAATCTGGCGCTAATGGGGGAATTCCTGAATGATCTAATGAGATTTCCCTTCCCTTTCACCTGTTAAAACTAACATAACAGTGATCGCTTTGTACACTCCTCTCTCTCTCTCTCTCTCTCTCTCTTGCTTTCTGTACGTATCTCCTCATGCTTCCTCTACTTTAGGTGGGTTTTTGGGGTGTGTTTCCCTTCATTTTCCCCTCATTCCTCCCCCTCTCTCCTTCTCCCTTCTCTCTTTCCCCTCTCTTCTCTCTTTCCCCTCTCTTCATCTCTCCTCTCTTTATCTGTTTTTGTCCATTCTTTATGCACCCTCCTCCTGTCTCTCACTCCCATTCTACATGTATGTCTTCCTTTCTTTCTCTGTATACCCCTTATCTCCTTCTCGCTTTCCCTTTCTCATTTTCCCTATTGCTCTCCTACTCCTTCCCTTCCCATTCCCTTCCCATCTGTTCCCCTCTTTCTCCATTACATGTAACAGCTGATTAGAAAGAAATAATTTATTATCCAATGTTAAAACCAACTTTATCTCCCCCCCCCACCCTCCTCTCTCTCTCTCTCTCTCTCTCTCTCTCTCTCTCTCTCTCTCTCTCTCTCTCTCTCTCTCTCTCTCTCTCTCTCTCTCTCTCTCTCTCTCTCTCCCTCCCTCCCTCTCTCTCTATCACCTCCCCATTCTACTCCCCTCCCTTCTTCCTCTGCCTATATCTTGCCATTCACCATTCCTAACAGCTGATCATCAAGAAGTCGTTGATTATCCAATCAATACACCACATCCTCTTCCTCATGGCTGTTCAAGATAGTAGTCTGATTGTAGTGTAGGATAAGCCTTTCGTCATTGAACTTGAACAATGAATAGCACACCCTTGCCACAACATGACCTCCTTTTAAACGATTACTTCGCAATGAAGCACAACAATAGCTTACATAATATTGCTGATACATTTCCACTTGTAAACGTATTTAATACCTATTCATGTAATCATAGCCATGATACTGTAAACCAGAACTTTTGTAACCTGATGTGTCAAGAAACTTTTGTTAATTGCAAATATTCAGTGTTTTTACCTTTTATAACTCGATAATTTCATGGTATGACAATTTCATAAAAGTGGACGACTTACAAATTGTGTGAAGTTTCATGTGCACACGAAAGTTTCTGGATTGACAGTATTCAATTAAAAAGATAAAAGTCTACACCAAATACAAAGTACTCCTATAGTTACAAAGCATGATTCAAGGCATGTTTTGCTTGATTGATATTTTGACGAGTTTTGTGTACAAGTGGCATATGTGATGCAAAACATGATATGATCTAAACATGTGCCTTGTTGCTATTGATATTCTTGAGAGAAAAACAAAAATTCATGCATATGGATGCATTAAAAAAAATATTCTGTAATCATACATTTACATTACAAGCAACAATGACTCTTAAAGCAGTCTGGATAATCCTCACTTAACATTCTCGATGTCGGGTTTATTAATTGGTGCTAATTCAAAAAAAGTATATACTCTGCATACTCCAATGCACTGCAATGCATTGCTTTTGTGGTATATTTTTAGCTCATAAAGAAACAATACATGTCTAACAATCAAAACAGAATAAAACAAAGTACATATGATTTTATGGTAATAGTTTTGTGGTGGACTTCAAGTTTGTGGTCAAAAAGATTAACTTTCTTCAAATTAATCATGAAAGGCTTTCACTTTCAATATAAGAACAAGATCACTTGAAAAACAGAGGAGGAATTTGTGATCATATGATGTAACACAAGAAGTAGGAGTAGATTTCATGTAAATGACACATTGGAATTCAATCGCCAGTGGGAAGCTTACATCAGCATTGCTTGGATTATACTATGAAATGCACACCTCTAGAAATCACATGATCGAAAACATTCCCGAAACCAAATCAAAATGGATGCCAAGATCAACAAGATTCCAGTATTGGGTATTGGGGATCTTGAAAGAAAACTGCTACTGGTAGCATACTGAAAACATGCAGTATTTGCTGAAAAAACTTTGTGTTGGCAAAAGTCAGAATTCAGACATCATACATACATGTACTGTACATTGAGATATTGACGACACAATTAATTGCAATTTTTCTTTTACTTCCAGAAGAGTTCTGCTTGATACAAAAATGCCCTCAAAATTTCTCATTATCACCTCTGGTATCTTTGGAAGGGAAGGGGAGGGGGAGGGGGCAAGTCAACACCCCTTTTCCAGCCCCAGACCCCCTTCCTGGGCACCATTAAAGTGTTTGTTCCTCCAAACCAAGTTGGGCCTCAAGTCACCTCATTAGCACCCATGCTCTGGCTTCCTTATTTGTTCCTTCCAGTTTTGTCAAGAATGTTTTTAATGGGTAATATAGATCAGAGAGGCACGGACTCGTACAAGTTAGAAACCAGTTAGCTATTACCACCCATCAGTAAGAGGGCTAACTTTCTTTGAGAGTAGTTCTCATTTTTATGCCTCCGTTACGAAGTAGCCGGAGGCATTATGTTTTCGGGTTGTCCGTCCGTCCGTCCGTCCGTCCGTACGTCTGTACGTACGTCTGTACGTACGTCCCGTTCTCGTGATCACGTTATCTGAAGAACGGATCGATGGATTCCTACCAAACTTTGGTCATATATGTATCTAGCAAAGTCGATGAACTGATTAGATTTTGGGGGTCACGAGGTCAAAGGTCAAAGGTCACAGGGCTCATTATGTATGCAAAAACAGCTCGTGATCGCGTTATCTGAAGAACCGATTGATAGATTCCTGCCAAACTTTGGTCATGTATGTATCTTGTAGAGTCGATGAACTGATTAGATTTTGGGGTCACGAGGTCAAAGGTCAAAGGTCACAGGGCTCATTATGTATGCAAAACGGCTCGTGATCGCGTTATCTGAAGAACCGATAGATGGATTCCTGCCAAACTTTGGTCATGTATGTATCTTGCAGAGCCAATAAACTGATTAGATTTTGGGGTCACGAGGTCAAAGGTCACAGGGCTCATTATGTATGCAAAAACAGCTTGTGATCGCGTTATCTCAAGAACCGATTGATGGATTCCTGCCAAACTTAGGTCATGTATGTTACTTGCAGAGCCGATGAACTTATTAGATTTTGGGTAACGAGGTCAAAGGTCAAAGGTCACAGCGCCCATTATGTATGCAAAAACAGCTTGTGATCGCGTTATCATTAGAACAGATTGATGGATTCCTGCCAAACTTAGATCATTTATGTATCTTGCAGAGCCAATGAACTGTGTAGATTCTTGGTTCATAAGGTCCAAGGTCATGGGCTCATTATGTATGCAAAAATAGCTTGTGAACGCATTCTCATTAGAACTGACAGATGGATTACTATTTAACTCTGGATATCTTGCAGAGCCAATGAGCTGAGTAGATATTAGGATCATGAGGTCAAAGTTCAAAGGGTCATATATGTATATGAGAAATTGTTTGTAATCACGATATTCTGAGAACCTGTTAATGGATTACAATTGAACTTGAATTTGAAAAATTTCTTCTGTTTTGGTTTGTAAAATTGCTCTATGACGGAGGCATCATTTTCGACTGCGCGCAGTCGAATTCCATCTAGTTCTTTAAGGGTGCATTCAGTGGAATTATTATTGGAATCATGTCATAATGTGTGTCATACTTTGTTGCAAGAAGGTGACAAAAGTGTTTAATTGGTAAGTCACATAATGCCATTCAACTTGGGTATTTTTTCCTACATTGTACATGTATATGGCATATATTTTCTAAATGAATAAACAATACAGTTATATTACTGAAGATTAGTTAGAAATTCTTTATATTCCATTTTGTTTTGTTTTCTTCATAGCTTGGTGTTTTCCTGTGACATGTGATGTTATTTTGCAATCTGCTATTTTGATATGATCAAACTATTACGTGTAATGTGAAAACTGTTATTCCTAGACATTGCTGATCTATAACGGTGAATGCATTGGTCAATTGGTAACACAATCTAATTTTAATCCTCTTGTCTTTTCCTCACACAGACATGAGAAGGTTCTCTCAGCTTTGACGGAGGTTGGAGAATCCAAGTCCAGCCCAAGATTTTCACCCATCGTAGAGGCCCTCCATCTTGAGGATAACCCTCAACTCATGGTAAAAACTTTAGCAATCTCAGACTTTTTTGTCTTCTTTTAAAGCCCCACTGCACTACTTATAGCTACTTGCGTCCTCTATATAGCAAACGATGCTTAAGCGGTACCAGTTTGTCTCCCATGTTCCCCTTTTTCTTATGTTAATTGAGAGCTGATTTAATGAGATAACCACCTGTCTGTGACCATGCAGGGAGGTCTAATCTCTCCTGGCCAAACTAGTACAGATAAGCTTTAAGAAGAGATATTGTGGGTACTGGAGATAATGTCAGCTCACACAGTTTCTCATACAACTGGTCTACTATCTGCTTTTAATTGAATTCGCATTTATCACTTAGTTTGCTCCAATGTAATTTCATGTTAATTTAGTACTTATTGAAATTGCAAACATTATTGGCTAAAGCTCATTCATAAATATTCATCATGTACATGAAGTAATAGAGCAACAATTGTATTACCGGTAACAAACTTGTCAAAAAAATACCTGCAGAAAATGACATGTACTGAAGAACAGAAATTTGATCAGTGACTACCAGTATGTGTTCTATATGTTTTGTAGCAAATGTATGTGGCATTTGTATTCTTGGACATTCAGTGCAAATTCTTCTCTATTCTACGATCAATTTATTCCTTGCCATTAATTACCACATCACAAGATTTACTCTGATAGGAAGGGACATCTTTCGCAACATAATTAAATTTACAGTAGGGTTGTGGTTGCACCATGTGACAGAGGGGGTAGGACCGTAGGACAATATGTTTTTATTCCAGTTTCTTAAATCCATTTCTTGTTTTCTCTTTGTAGTGTGTGTGTATGCAGCTAGTGAATGCCATCATATCTAACCCAGAGGATCTGGACTTCAGGTTACATCTTCGGAATGAGTTCCTCCGCACCGGGATGAGCAACCTCTTGCCGGTAAGATATATTTCCAACATACATGTAATACTTTAATTATAAGTTATAACCTCACTATTTCAGTAAGCCCATGACAAAATGATGATATGTGCTTTCTTCCTGAACAAGGTGTTTAAAAACTGTTACTAATCGAAGAAGCTGACTTGTTTCTGTAATGTGTATTTAATGCATGTGTATTAATGGTGAGACTCTTTGTTCATATATAGCAAACTGTATTGTAGACCCAGGGAGTTTAAGTGGAACCATTAAGGATTGAAAAAGATTAGGTGCAGGAGACACAAGATTTCAACATCCTGTTTAATGAAATTTATATGTTTATGACTTCTTAAAAGTATTCTTGCTCTTTTTGTCTGTCTCTTAATTAGTCTCATTTATATTTCCCAAAGCCTTGCTCACCCTCCTCTCCTCTTCTCACTGTCTATCTGTACGTCTCTCTGTCTCTGTCTATCTGTACGTCTCTCTCTGTCTCTGTCTATCTGTACGTCTCTCTGTCTCTGTCTATCTGTCTATGTCTCTCTGTCACTGTCTATCTGTACGTCTCTCTGTCTCTGTCTATCTGTCTACGTCTCTTTGTCTCTGTCTATCTGTCTATGTCTCTCTGTCACTGTCTATCTGTACGTCTCTCTGTCTCTGTCTATCTGTACGTCTCTCTGTCTCTGTCTATCTGTACGTCTCTCTGTCTCTGTCTATCTGTACGTCTCTCTGTCTCTGTCTATCTGTACGTCTCTCTGTCTCTGTCTATCTGTACGTCTCTCTGTCTCTGTCTATCTGTACGTCTCTCTGTCTCTGTCTATCTGTACGTCTCTCTGTCTCTGTCTATCTGTACGTCTCTCTGTCTCTGTCTATCTGTACGTCTCTCTCTCTCTCTGTCTATCTGTACGTCTCTCTGTCTCTGTCTATCTGTACGTCTCTCTGTCTCTGTCTATCTGTACGTCTCTCTCTCTCTCTGTCTATCTGTACGTCTCTCTGTCTCTGTCTATCTGTCTATATCTCTCTTTCTCGCTCTGTTTTGATAACTCTATAAATATGATTGATTGATTATAATTGAAGTCTCAATAGTATCGACCCCTCTCATCCCGCAATGCATTCTTTGGGATACATCAAGAGTTACATTGATTAATTAGCAGCTATAAAAATTATGTGAAGATATAATAAAGTAAAGTTGAGTCCTGTTTCAATTGTGACACATCAGTCAAAGATGGTGATTTCAATCGACACAGAAACTTAGAGGGTCATCTCTCAATAGATGTAGACTAAGTCTTCCTTAAGAGTCTCTTAACTCATACTTTGTTATTCACCCCTCCCACCTCTCCTCTCCTCTCACTCACAGGAGCTTCGTGATAACCAAAGTGAAGAGCTGGGCGTTCAGATGAGAGTCTTTGATGAGCACAGAGAAGATGACTTTGAAGAGTTCCAGCATAGATTCGAGGGCCTCCGGGTCGAGATGGAATATCCTTTACAATCTCTACAAATTAAACGATTTGAATTTATTTATTCACAGTAAAACTCACATCAATCTAAATTTCTTAGAATTGTAGCTATTTCTAACATGAAGTCTGTGGGTGTTGATTCAAAATAACCCTACTTTGATAACGGATTGCTTTTTCAGATCATTTGCATTTATTTTTTGAACCATAGTGATCCTAAAATGAGGGTGCTGCATGTGGTTGACGATACTTTTATTTTTTTTAACTTAAAGCCTGTCTGTACTAGTTTGACCAGGAGGGATTAGACCTCCCTGCATGGTCACTGACAGATGGTTATCTCATCAAATCAGCTCTCAATTAACATAAGAAAAAAATGGGACAATGGGGGACAATTGGTCACCACTTAGGCATTGTTTGCTATATAGAGGGCGCAAGTAGCTATAAGTAGTGCAGTGGGGCTTTAAAGGTGGCCGAAATACACAAAATGTTTGACCCCAGATGAGGGGTGGGGGGATGAGGGGAGGGTGGACGGATCCAGGCTATGGGTTAGCATATTTGCAAATTTTGAAGACATTTCTCCTTGACCTTCTCTGTTCACTGACCTTGAGGGCAACTTCCAGCTCCTACAGCAGGTCGTCGCAAACACACCGTCAGAAAACTACTTCCTGTCCATCCTCCAGCACCTAATACTAATCAGGGAGGACACCTACATAAGGTAAACAAATATTCAAAGTAATTTACCATTTGAAAGCATATCTTCTGCGCAGATTAAAGAATATAATTTTTCACCCCATTTGTTTTTGAGCTATGAATGGCTTGATATATTGTATCGTATCTAAGGACCTGGTACTGTAACTTTAATTTGATTTACCAGTGGACACCAGTGCATTTGATTGGTTTCGACCCCCCCCCCCCCCCCCCCAACACCACCCTATTTCAAGACCACTCGTCTACCTTGGTATTTAATACACATTTGTGATGGCGAGTATGAACGAATGATAATTTCAGAAATATCACCTCAATTCTAGCCTGCCGTTAGATATGACAGTAAAAATCTAATACCGGTAGATGTAATGGCTTAAAGTTGCGATTGCTGTACAACTCAAATTGAGAATTTTTTTTCAAAATTTCAGTCAAGTACATGTAGGTGCCTATCGTAATAAATGATGCACAGTTTGAAATGATTGGTTGTCATGGAAAGGCATAACTGCTTTGCCACAATCGTTGACCTTTGACCTTTGACTGACCTCTCATCTTCCCCAATGTTCTCCTTTTGCAGGCCACAGTACTTCAAGTTAATAGAAGAATGCATATCTCAGATCGTGCTCCATAAAAGCGGCTGTGATCCCGACATGTCATACACCAAGCGATTTGACGTGGATGTGGGCCCACTCATAGGTAATTAAGTATTCCCACTAAAACCAATATCATATCATTAAACTTGCGGGAAGGTTAGCCGTAGAATATCGGTTTCTGAACAATTAAGGGCAATATCATGACTGAAAGAAATCACTACAGTGTGCATAGGTCTATCAGAGGTCCGCATACGTGTAGGTTGCACAGATTTTATTATCCTAATCATAAAGTCAGATTTATGATCCAAATCTTATAGGGGAATCACTACCTTGCATGGGTGCATCTTACATACACACTTAAATCTACTCAATTAATGATAGCTTTTAAATTGATATAAAAGCAATGCAATGAAATGCAGCCTTTATACTGATTATTGCTTGTTCACAGTATCATTTTCAAATATTCAAGCGCTTATCTTTGTTTATCTGTATCACACTTGACAAAGAGTTACCAGTTCTAATGTTTGGCATTATGGTCAATCAGTTCTGTCTATGCTAAATATTTTACTCCGGACTATTCTCAATATCCAGCCACTATATGGACTCTCAAATGATATTGCTGTTAATGAGTATCCCTCACTCGCTGTTTGATTGTTTTATTGTTTTATAGAGGGGTTAGCAGAGAAGGCCAAATATGAAAGCATTGAAGGCAAGGCAGACAAACTAGAGAAAGAGGTGAGTAATATAGTTGTCAGAGTTAAGACCATTTTGAGTTGAATAAAATGGAGCAACTCTTCCAGTTTATATTCTCGTAATTAAAGATGCATCAACACAAGGACCCAAAGACGTCTCCCTCTCCCTCTTCTCTCTCTCTCTCTCTCTCTCTCTCTCTCTCTCTCTCTCTCTCTTTATCTATCTCTCTCTCTCTCTCTCCCTCTATCCCTCTATCCCCCCCCCCCCTTTATCTCCCCCCCCCCCCCTCCTCTCTCTCTCTCTCTCTCCCCCTTTCTCTCCCCCCCTCTCTCTCTCTCTCTCTCTCTCTCTCTCTCTCCCTCTCCCTCCCTCTCCCTCCCTCCCTCCCTCCCTCCCTCTCTCTCTCTCTCTTTTTCTCTGAGTCCCTCTCTCTCCTTTATGAAAAGTTGTGAGATGGTATAGTTTGACAAACTTTATGTCTTTGCAGCTATTGCCAGGAAAATACATTTTTTATGCATGTTATAATTTTAATGATGTCAAAGAATGTTGACTTTGTCACTCTATTCTGACAAATTTTGTTAATGCTCATTATTCATGCAATGCTTTTATTTGGGTGCTTGGCTTTCTATTCAAGAATTTTACTAGTTTGATATACAATCAAACCTGCTTTAGTGACCACCTGTCTACAACAAGTACATTTTTTTCCCCTTGAAAATGGTTTCTCATTGAAACATGTACTAAAGGAACTTGTCCACAAAGACCACTTTTTGTGTTCCCCTTGGGCGGTCGCTGTAGACAGGTTTGACTGTATACCAAATTGCAGTGACTTTAATTATTGATTTCTTTTTCTTTGTTGTTTAATAGTTGGAGACAGAGGTTACAGCCAGGCAGGAATCTGAAGCCAAACTAAGTCAAGCCAATAAGAAAGTTGAAGAGACGGAGAAGGAACTTGAGGAATTAAAACAACGGGTAAGAAGACGGAAATATTGTGACTCAAACTAGAAGTAGCTTATATACATTGGAATGAGTCAAATCATGTCTGAGCATTCATTTGCAAAATAGCGGTAATGGTGTTTGTGACATGATGCATGCAACTCTTTCCGCATACACATTGACCTCTGACACATGATGATCAACCAGTTTTCAATCGACATTGAACTATCACAAGAGTGAATCACTTAGTTCTTTTTTAATGCTTTTCTAACAAACTGAAGTCATACTGAGGCCCATGGACTATTTGTGTTAACATGATATTTTAAAGTAGATTCATGTATGAATATAACTGTCCAGTATATTATAGTTGTGTGGAAGATTTTTGATTATTTACGAGGTCTTGCAGCAGAGCAGTTGTAAAAGCTAAAAATTTGTTATTGTTAGTATTACTAAAAAGATTTACTTTAAAGATGATTATGCTGGCTATGAAATGATCTTGTTCTTCATTTATACTTCCCCAGGTCGCAAGTGGAGCAGTAGTTGCTGCCACAGGTCCTGTCCCACCGCCACCACCTGGGGGAAGTGTTCCCCCTCCCCCTCCACCACCACCTGGTATGGGTGGTGGTCCACCCCCACCCCCTCCACCTCCACCCGGTATGGGTGGTGGTCCACCCCCACCCCCTCCACCACCTGGTATGGGTGGTGGTCCACCCCCTCCCCCTCCACCACCTGGTATGGGGGGTCCACCAGGCCCCCCTCCTCCACCGGGCGGTGTACCCATGCTTGGTGGTCTGGGTTTCAAGGGGATGTCGCCGGTGCAGTCCCTACCCCACGGGATGAAGGAGAAGAAGAAGTACAACCCCCAGGCCCCGATGAAGAGAGCAAATTGGAGCAAGGTAAGGTTCGAAGCCAGTTTCCATAAAAGCATTCCATCTTTAGTCGAGATGTAAACCTTAAAACCCCACTGTACTACTTGTAGCTACTTGCTCCCTCTATTTAGAAAACAATGCTTAAGCGGTAACCATTGGTCCCCCATGATCCTCTTTTTCTTATGTCCATTGAGAGCTGAGTTGATGACCTTGCAGCGTGGTCTAATCCCTCCTGGCTAAACTAGTACAGATGGGCTTTAAGTGGATAGAGAAGGTCCTTTGATTTGAAGCGGGTTTTTTCTAATAACGTGTAAATGAATGGCAACTGCCCACAATATAGGTTCAATAAAAAAGGTTCAAGAAAAAAGAAAAAAGATGCAGAAACCAATAAATCAAATCAAATTTTAAAAAAAATCAAAACAAATATGTTTCCACTAAGCTATGTATTGTAAAATACAGAAATGTGAGACATTTTTTTAAAAGTCGGGTTTCATATCTGAAGCTAAATGTATGGACCAATATGTTATAAATTAAATTTATAAGTGTCATTTCATGTATGGATACCTATCATTTTCTGTATGTTTTTTGTGCAGAATAAGACTAGCTCTCCATAAATTGTATCTATTTTAGTCTCCCTTGATGATCTTTTGAAACAGGTTTTATAATACAGATTTTGGTTCTTTCATATAGTATCTTAGAAGGTTTGGCATGACTTCACAAAACATGTGTAAAATCTAAAACAAGCATGTCTATGGGTTGTCAACGGACTTGTACTTGCGATGGTTTCATGAAATGCTGCCCTTGCCTTGTAACAATGATTGATCCCAAGGTCCATGATTCTCTTTTCCTATGAACAGATTCAACCCAGAACACTCGGGAAGCACTCGTTATGGGTCAACGCAAAAGAAGATAAACTAGAGAAGACGGAGGTCTTGGAACAGTTAGCCGCCCTGTTTGCTTCCAAACCAGGTATTTTTACAGTGATCAGTCGTAAATATGATTTTGTTGATTCCTTCAACGCTTTTCGATAGTATTCTCCTGTGCTTGGAATGTCTACAATGTTTGTTTTTCAAATTTTAGAAAACAGTAACATACTGTATGTGGTAGTGATCCGAAGAGATTACCGTCTATATCAAGCAAGCCACCCCCGCCCCATTAATAATCGACTATTAACATGGGTGTACTGATCACCTATAAAAGTCAGTTTACAACTCAAATGTATAAGATCAACCTAAACAAATCTTCACCTGTTAAAACAGATAATCTCTTCACAGAATTTATGATATTTGAAGCTCATATTTTGATTAAACATAAATTTGTACACTTTGAATTAAAACACAGATGCGTCATTCTTCCCTTCACAAAGAGAGTATCTAACTTTCAATTTTTCATGTCAGAAGTAGGATGATAATTGGAATATACATGTTGTATATGTCATGATGGTGGTAGTTTGTGAAAGTGACACGTTAATCTTTCTGAAGGAATGAAAGTGTGGAGAAGAAGAAAAAAATTGCCATACTTACAAATCATTTGCTTCTATTTGCCCCATAGGAAAGAAGCTAGGAGGTGGTGGTGGTATCGAAGCCGACGTGGATGGTAAGACGGAGACGAAGAAAAAGGTCAAGGAACTGAAGGTATTGAGTGCCAAGGAAGCTCAGAATCTGTGTAAGTAGCTTCAACAATAATAAGATGATGTAGACCAGTAGAGAAAAACATGGGAGTCGCCATTGTTCCGTTGATAAATTAACCCCCCCCCTCCTTTTTTTTTTTTTTTAGTTTCGTAGTCCTTACTTCAACCCTGGACCCAACACCTTCTCTAATCCTGATCCTAAACCTATCCTGAAACCTTACCTAAAACCTCATAGCGACCTTAACCCTACAATGTACATCTTTGATGAAATAAAGGCCAGAGCAATTGAACGCCAAGGGAAACGCTGATCCAAACAAGAAGTGCTGGTGCATAATTCATCCATTCTGCTCAGTTAATATTATTATCACTCTTGGTTACTGGATTAGTAGCCTGCATGCGGGTGGGCATTATCGCCCAGTCACTTTTAAATGGGTAATGATGTGGATTAATTGTATCGGTCCTTTCTAAATTGGCATTTTACAAATGTGACTGAAACAAAGCTTATTGTATTCTTATTTAATGTTGTGTATTTATGAAACATGTACATGTTCCAACAGATGGTTAGTAATATTACTACATGTACAGATCCGTGATATCATTCTCTTTTGACCTTGACAAAATGTGGGAAATGTTTTGGGTTTTTTTGGGTTACAGTTTAGCTGTGATATATCGACAGCAATGATCTATTTAATGTAGAAAGCATTTACTTTTGTGGGATTGTGGGATACCACAGGAAACTGTCAAGGAACTTACAATGGTGGATCTGTTTTGTTTAGGTCATGATATTTTTAAATAAAAGCAGAGGTAGCTACATGCTGTTCAGAGTGATATTTATTCATTTTTTTAAAATAGCCTCTGTTTTTCTTCCTGTTCCTGTTTTTCTATTCCTCATTTTGCTTTCCCCACCCCCATCATCCCCCTTCAGTTATAAAAATGGATGTAAAAGACAATAAACAGTCCTAGGAATGATTTTGTCATCCTGAATAAATGTGTTTGAATGAATAAAAATAAATAAAAATTTTAAAGAAAGTTAATAATTATTTTTCTTCTGATATCTGCAGCAATCTGGCTGGGTTCAATGCGCATCCCTCACGAGGAGATCAAGAGACGGATCTTGGAGATCGACGAGGAACACTTGAATGAGGGCCTGGTCCAATCATTACTCAAGAACATGCCTGAGCCCGAGACTCTCAAACAAGTCTACGCTCTCAAAGATGAATTCAATGATATGAATGAAGCTGAGCAGTTCTGTGTTCAGGCAAGTCCTATTTTCCTATGTTTTTAAATAATTTATTTGTTATTTTGTCATTATGCATGAAATTTTACCAACTTGAATCAGAATTCCTACTTTCTTTTTCTTCTAGATGTATATTGGTTTCACCTCTTATGTCTTGGAGACATGAAATTAGATTTTCTGATTATTTGAAAAAATGTCATCGTTAATGCTCCCTGTTTTTTTAAGATTGTAAGATATGTAAGCATGTTCAATTGTTTAATAATCATTTTTTATTGAAATCATTATAATTACTTTAAGATATACTCATGTGCTGAGTCTCAATTGTAAGTGCTTATAGCTAGCTATCTGAGGTATCTCTAAAAAAAGATGGCTGCAGTCATAACCACTGATTGTAAAGTATGTTATCACATTATCATAAATGTACTTTTTACGACAACATTATTTAGAGCAGAAATTCAAGGGGAGCTTCCAAAAAGCCTGAAACTAAGCTTGAAATCTGTTATTACACAAATTACGTTCATCCAATAGTTAAATACATCTTAAATTTAGTGTTAAAGTGTATAGATTAAAATGACTTCATGATTCCAAATCTTGTCCGGAATACCACAATAAACCGTAGATCTTTCTTTATCTTGTTCTTTTTAAATCGCTGTAGGTTGGAAGTATCAAGGGTCTTCAGAAGAGGTTACAGGCCATCCTCTTCAAGATGAAATTCCCAGAGCTTATAACAGACATCAAGCCTGTAAGTTACTAATAGAAGGTGGATAGTACTGAATAATGAAGCCTTTACCTTTTTGACTAATATGGGCGTCAATCCTGTCACATAATAAGACCACTTCTTCTTCTTCATGTATGGTTCATGTGTATAATTATTAAAAAAATCCCTTTATATTGTCGTCATGCAATTTGAAGTCACCAAATCAGGGCTCCCACTTAGCCGAGTTAGAGCCTTGAGTTGTGGGGAGCTGGCGCTAGTTTATGGCAAGCCGTTTTATCATTAAAACATATTTCTTGATCAATTCTTGATATCAAGAAATAATTTTACGTTGTAAAGCAATGGTAATTCTTGATATCAAGAATTTGATTTCGTGATATCAAGAATTGAATTCTTAATATCAAGAAATATGTTTTGATGATAAAACGGCTTGCCATAAGCTCGCGCCAGCTCGCCACAACTCGAGGCTCCAACTCGGCTAAGTGGGAGCCCTGCTTTAGTGAACAACAAGTATGTCAGAAATCTTCATAGCCTATGTATCTCTTTATTAGTAATGAGCTTAGAAAGTCTTTTTTTTTGTTTCATGGTCTCTGATAAATATTTCTGTTGTGCCAAAATAGTTATCACTCTTTCAAAGCTTACATTTTCTATCGAAATGCCACAATTCAAAATTCATTTAGGATCATATGTAGATGTACACCTTTTAGTTTTAATATACTTCATGTTCATATTATTGTGACTAATTCTTATGTAGACACTGAACATTTGACATGATCATTTTTTCCCATTACAGGAAATCGCCACAGTGACCAAGGCCTGCGAGGAGCTCAAACATAGTAAGAGTTTCAACAAGCTGCTGGAGTTGATTCTTCTCTTTGGTAACTACATGAACTCAGGTTCAAGGAATGCAGGGTCACTTGGATTTGACCTCAACTTCCTAACAAAGGTGAGTGTGTGTGTTGGTTTTTTAATTGTTTCTCTCTTCCCTCAATTTCTGTCCCTGTCTCCTTACCCTCCCATGTCTAACTTTCACTCTAAAACTTTCACTCTAAAACTTTCATGCTATATGTCTTTCCATTTCTTTTTTGTTTCTCTTATTCAGTCCTCCCAACACTTACTCTTTATTCCCTCCATGTCCTTTCTCTCTCTCCCTTTCTCCTTCTCTCCCTTTCTCCTTCTCTCCCTTTCTCCTTCTCTACCTTTCTCCTTGTCCCAGCATGTCTATCACTTTTATTTCTTTGTTCTCTTTGTCTTTATCCGTCAGGGGAGGGAGGGGGGAGGGGGCAAGGAAAGTTCATGCATTTCAAAGTACAAGCAGAGCTGCCAACTAGTACGGATTTTCCGTAATTGGTACGGAAATTAACGACCATTACGGAATGTTGTCTCAAATTACGGATTAAAAAAAAAAAAAAAAAAATTTTTTTTTTTTTTTTTTTAATGAATTAAATATGATTTATCGTAGCGAGTGCTGTGAATAGGAGCCATTTTTCATGATAAACTGTGTTGTGATGACCTGAAATTCAATACTTAACATCTTTGTGTGAGTAAAATCACCAAAAATTTCAGATAATCATGCGTCCGCGCAGTGTTGGCGTGTCGTTTTTTTAGATTCATAGCGCCGCATAAGAAATTACTGATTTATACCCCAAATTACTGATTTTGAGCCTTGTGATTACTGATTTTCTGTTCTGGAGGTTGGCAGCTCTGTACAAGCGTTTGATTTGTTGATCTGGGCCATGCAATTATAAAATTTGACAAAGTCTCTTGCATGCTAAAATCTTGTTTTGACAGTATCACCCAGGTGTTAAATGGGTACCCGGTAGGATACGACCATCATTGTTGGTCAAACAATTTTTGGAGTGGAGATTGTGCACACAGTGTGTATGGGCAAGCATTGAATCCAATGACTGGGGTAATAGTATATCTGTAAAGTACTTAGAGATATTGTTGATATATTAAGCGCTATATAAAAGCAGAATATTATTATTATTATCTTCTTGTAAGTGTGAAAAAGCTCTTTTTCAATACTTTATTTACATGCAACCATCTCCCTTCTTTATCATCCCTCTCCCCTCCCTCTCTTGCAGCTGAGAGGTACAAAGTCAGTCGACAACAAGATCAACTTCCTCCACTTCCTGGCTGACCAGGTGCAGACCATCTACCCTGAGATCGCAGACTTCCCTGAGACAATCACACACGCAGTCAAGGCCTCAAGAGGTATGATAGTAATTATATTTGCTTATATAGCGCCTAACACTTACTTTATCAGAAGTCTCTTAAAGCGCTCTACAATAATGCAGCATAATTACCCTGGCTTGAGCAGTGCAGCTGTCATGCGCGCTGCGTTTCAAGGAATAAATTCCTACCAGGTCCCCATTTACTTCACCTGGGTGGAGTGTGGCAAATGTAGATCAATGTCTTGCCAAAGGACATTAGTGCCACGGCGGGACTCAAACTGCATACCTTGTGATCGACAGTCCAGCAACATATTGCCTGCCTCTAGGTCAAGTCAAGTCAAGCCAAGACAGAGGAGGTTTAGCTAATAGACGCACAGGAATAGGCTCCAATAGTCCTCCAATCAATCGCAAGTCTCCTATCTCTTATGAACATAGTTGCGATTGATATCAACTCTTTATAAGACGGGGCCCAGGTCAATACGAGTTGCGGTATTTCAGTTATTATCATTTGAAAGTATGTTTTTTTTCACAACTTACATGCACTCTTTTCTCTCTCCACCCAGTTTCCGATGATAACATTCAGAAGAACATGAAGCAAATGAAGACTGAAATCAAAGGATTAGAGAAGGACTTGGACAAGTACAAACCAGTGGCTAATGTCAATGACAGATTCAAATCTATCATGGAAATATCCTTTACAGCAATAAAAACAAACCATCAGTAGAATTTAAGCATCATTTTTTTTTTTTTTTTTTTTTTTTTGGGGGGGGGGGGGGGTCCTTTCTCCTTCATCTTGTCCAGAACAGACTCCGTTTGGACTCTTTCTAAAAAGAGATATAGACTTGAACCACTGAACTTTCAATAATCTTTGCGATACCCCTATATTCAGGAATTTCGGTTACCTTCCAAGGTATTTATTGACTATGTCATTAAAGTCAATTACCAATACATTGCTATTCAAGCCATTTTTCTATCAGAAAAGATTTAAATACGTTTACATTGATGCGTAACAACAGACTATTTTTATTTTTGAGGAATGATTCATTAATGCATACTCTAGCCCTCAAACAAGTGTTACAAAGCCATAATATTAATTTCTTTTTTGTCAATATCTGTGTAAAGAGCTTACAAATGTATGAAACATAATATTCCCTTAAGCTTTTTTAATTTTTGCTTTGGAAGGTTGGCAGATTTGTTTATGATTGCCAGATTTGCCCTTACTAAAATAACTACATTAACCTTTTTTTATAAAAATCTCTGCCCCATGGTAAACGGATCTGATTATATACAACTATTAACCTATAAAGGTCTCTATAAATTCTATATTTATTTCAGAAGTACAGAATATACACGTTTGCTTGGCTATTCTCAGCACTGCTATAATAAACTGAAATTTCCTTTACTGAACACTTTCTTGTTCCGATGTTCACGAGTTTCTGAAGAAGGCCAAAGACCAGTACAAGGTTCTGGAGGGCATGTACAGCCAGATGAAGGAGCTCTACACAAAGATCGCTGAGTTCTACGCCTTTGACATGTCCAAGAAATCCATGGAGGAATTCTTTGGTGATATCAAGACTTTCCTTGCAGAATACGAGGTAAGACATTTTATCCTGGCAGAGCTTTTTTCCTTTTTCTTCAGTACACCAGAGCTAACTGTTCGCACTTTTATGTAATGAGTTTAGCTGAAATAATAGGGACTTTTAGATTTGCACAACGGAGAACGCGGACTGCCCTTGTAAGGCAATGTGACGTCACTGCCAGCGCCTTAAAAGGGCAGTCCACGTTCTCAGTCGTGCAAATCTAAAAGTCCCTAATCTCTGATGTCCCTGTTCTCAATGTAAAAACAGAAGAAGCATTATTATTAGTTAAAATTTGATATTTCATTATACGCGTCAAAAATGATAAATATATAAAGTTTATTTATTGGTTTCGAGTCGAAAATGCCACCAGCATTACATGTATCATCAGGGGACATTCATGGCAGCGGAAAAAGCTGACATGAAAAACTGATAATAAACGGGAGCCAGTATACAGCACCTAAACTAACCCCCACCCTTATTTTTATACTATTTATGTTAGTGATGTTAATTTATTCTAATTAACACCCCTAACATCCCTAAATGAACCCTGTCTGTATACTGGCCCCGCATGTGATCCTCTTGGCACACCCATCCCTAGGCATGGTCTCCTTATATACACTACCATGCTGAAAAGGGTTTTGGGTAACAGTTAGTGGCAGGCATCACTTCTCCCTTACAAGTGAAAAAACTACTGAATAAACATGCAGCAAATTGCGAATATGCATGACCTGATTTGATTAACAATTGACTTTCTCCTTTGAATCATCAATAGATGCTAGGTCTGGCAATACAAAGAATAGAAACATTTGTGAGCTATAGTGGTTTGACTCTGGTATGCATGAATTGGCAGGGGCCATTGCCTTTGAACATACTCAATAGGATTGTCTTGTTTTCAAACTACTGCATTCAAAGTCTTGGATGCTCCATCCAAGAACTTTTGATGACAATAGTTCTTGCCTTTTTATTTAAAACATTCACCTGTTTTGAATGAGAGGAGGAATTTCCTTTGCATAAATCATTCCTCTGTCTGTGAGTCTCACACATGCTAATTATGTGCTGTCTAAAGTAACTATTGTTCAAATCTGGCAAAACACGCTTGAATACAAGTGAACTTACACCTTTCGTCCAGTAACTGTTGTCATGTCAGGCAGGGCAGAGAAGGTTTAGCTAATTTCATTAGACCCTGTGTCATTTTCTTTTGAGCCTCATCTTACTGTCTCAATAGCTTTCAGGGGATTATTGCATTGTTAATATACATACAAATTTTTTTTTTTAAAAAGCATTGGTTCAGTTGGGATTGTGTTTTTTCTACAAGATGAATATGCTGTCATTTAATATTTTTTCGTTTTTGTGTATGGCCTTCTAAATGGCCGGTCGATATTTATTTTTACCGCAAGCGAAAAGATTGGGTCTGGAATATCTAAACAGCAGACTAAACATTCATAGTTTTATTTGTTTGTTTATATACAAACTTTTGGTCATCATTATGTATTTATTTCTTTAAATAGTCAATTGATGTCCAGTTGTCATCTTGTCTGTTTGGTTTTCACCAAGTGAGAGTAAATAATTGTGTTTGTTTGTTTACAGCAATCTAGACAGGAGAACAAGAAGAGATCTGAGGCAGAGGAGAAGGCCAAAAAAGCCAAGGAAGCAAAGGAGAAGAAGGAACAAGAGAAGAAGATGAAATCACAGAGGAAGAACAATCTCCTTGATATGACGATAGGTAATTTATCCAAATTGAATTTAGCATTGTTAATCTACACAGGGGTCCTTTAGATGTTAGATTCAAACGTCACAACAAATGTACTGATTAGGCCAAGTAACATTGATTCATTGTGGCACGGTATAACTTTTGAATTGACTAGAATAAGATTTCATGTTATTTGATAATTTACCTCATACATGCAGATTCCTTGGGGCAAGTCATTTTGAAAACATGTAGTCCTGAGAAGAATCACCACCCTTCCCCCTCCATACTGAAAATAAAGAAGGGTTTATAATTCAGAACTTTTTATGCCTTATTCCCAAGGTTCATACATTTCCAAAAATGACAGAGGGTTCATAATTCTCCAAAGGAAACAGGGTTTGACATGCATGTACTTTTCAGACTTATAAAAAGATAACTTGTGACCATTAGATTTAGGGAGAAGTTGTCCCGGGAGTAATTCTTTAAGGGCGTGCCTGAATTAGAATGTTAATATTATTGGGCAAGTCATCAAAGGTATGTTCTTTATAGGACCAAATATTATGGAATTGTATTTAAAAGAAGACTTCACATACAAAAAAATCCTTGTACTTGATATTTTGTGTCTGATCTTAGATGTGGTCGGCATGTATCCATAATATATCTATTGCAGAGCAATGTCCGTACAACTGTTTACAGAATAGCAATCCTTTTGTGACCATGATTGTTTTGTGTTTGTTTCTCTAGATGATGACCAAGAGGGAGTGATGGATAACTTGATCGAAGCGTTACAGAGTGGATCAGCCTTCAGTAGACCTCACAAGAAACGAGGACAAGCAAGGGCAGCTGGAGGTAAGTGATATGGTTGTGGAGAAATATTACTAAAATGAGGTGGATTTTTTTTCTGCAATAGGTGAAAATTGACTTAAATAGAATTGTCCATGGAGTGAAATTCATAAGTGTAAACAAACTCCTACCTCACACAAAGATATTTTTTTCTAAATGAAATTCTGACTTTTACGGTGACGGTGTCGTGGAGACCAACCATTATTGTAAATCTTTCATTGAATTTCTGAATATTTCCTTGCATCAAATCTTTGATTCATCTGGATTCATTGATTATACAAATTGCCTGCCTGTCATAGCAGTATTTTTGATCTGTCTTGATACCCTGATACAAGTATAGTATAGATTTTTCTTGCTAAGATATATTTTTGGCTAATTTAATCAATATAAATAAGAATGAGGTACATAGTATTTAAATACCAAGTTCATGTATGTTATTTTACATTTATTTCCCACCACAGCCGAGAGACAGCGGCAATTGGAAAGGTCGAGGTCAAGGGTCGGGAGGATGATGCCCGTTTCAGTAACAGAGATTGACATCAATGGAAGTGCCTCACCGAACATGGTCAGAACAAATAATACAAACAATGCTGGTGGGAGGAGTAGGGGCAGGAGAGGAGGAGACCAAGGGGGCCAGGATGGTGATGCTCTGATGGAAAGATTAAGGCAGTTATAGTACAGGGAGCAATGTTGGATTGGAAAGCCAACACCGAACCGAAGAGCATGTGTGTAACTAACGCAAAAGAGAATGTGTGGGACAAATGCCGAGATCAAAGTTTGGTGTGTAGCCAATATCAAACTTCATGCACGCAGCAGAGGCTGTCTTCCCAGCACCATCGACCATGTATGGGACTGATGCAGGGATAACAGTTGGATGTGTAGCCAACATGAAAGAACATGCATGGGGCCGAGGCTAGGAGGAGTATGTGGATGTGTAGCCAACACTGAAGAGAATGCAGGAATATACATGTAGCTGATGTCAAAATATATATGCAGAGGCAGCTACGAGCCTTCGGATGTGTAGCTCGCAACAGTGCCCATTTAGGGTAACAGTTGGAAGTTGAGCCTGCATCAAAAACCATGCATGGGGCTGAGGCACATAATGTTATTCATATGTGGGACTAAGACAGGGTGACGCAGTGGATATGAAGCCAACAACGATCATGCATTGGATACCTCATCAGAGCCAAGCCTTCCCTAGTATTGGTGCGACGTATGCGTGAGAACCGACACCAAAGAATCTATGTGGGACTGTGCCCAAACATCCACCACCCCTATGAAAGTGTCTTCCCGATTTCAGATTTGTATAATTCAGTCCAGAAATAGATGTCATTAGGTCCCATTTTTGACGAGATGAGAATGGGCAAAATGATTGGCATTATATAAACAATGTTGCAGAATAGCGAAACACCAATGATGTGTTCATGTATGTTATGAATTGTTCTTGATCTTTAATAGGGTAATTGGATTATGATGATGTTTCTTAGAAATTGATTTTGAAGAAAATAAAATATTTCAGCGTTCATTATACCAGAGTTTTGTCAGATATTAACTTTGATACAAAGCCCAGGTATTAATAAAGTAGTCCAATATTCATAAATTAAGTACCTTATCCATGCGACTTGAATGGAACCAGCAAAAGCTTTTTTTTTTATCCTTCGATTATGTACCATTTCGAAAGATATATTATCCAAGTTCAATAGATGTAACCAAATTTATAGTTGCTTTTGACATTTCAATAATCAGAATGCAAATTGCATATATCACACAAGTCATAATGTTTGTCTTGCTAACAACAACTTATTTGAATTCCAAGGTCCTCTTTTATATAAACAGAGTAGAAAATCAGGGGCAAAAAAAAAAGAAAGAAAGACTATGACCAGTACTACCAAACTATAAAAGGGAAAAAATTAATGCATGAAATAGATAATTTGTGTAGAGGAAAATGTTTTACTTTGTGAATTAGGAAACGGGTGTTTATTTAAATAACCGTACTTGGGGGCTGTTCAGGAACAACATTTAATTCATTAGTTTAAAAGAACCAATTCAAAGCAGATTATTGGGCAATTTTGAGGGGGGGGGGGGAATCACATCTAACCTAATCTAATGGGCTTTCACTAGAATATTGAGAATTACTTCTTGTATTTTTTTATAACATGGTAAATGTCCAAAATCTTGTATTAGAAGGGTTATATTATTTGTCAGAGAGCATATTGAAGTACAGTCTTTATTTTTGTAATGTTTATTAATTATTTTAGATGTACATTTTATTATAAGTTCTGTAAACACTCTCATCTCTAGAATTATTAATTTCTGTATCTTCTCTTCTGCATGTGTCACTATGCTATATGGTTGGATATAACATTGTATATTTTGATATATTCTGATTTTATACAGAGGTGATAGGGTAATGTTTCTATAATGTAAATATATTTTCCATGACAATAAAAAAATACTATACCTAAAGAACTTTCTTTTACTCATTGTGTTTGTTTAATGATTTCAGACATTTTAATAATTCATGATACAGCTTAGGATTGTCGTACACATCTGGTAAAAATAAATAGTCAAAATACACTCTTCATAATCCCAAGTACCTTGGTCCCACAGGGTAATAATCTCTGATTTTTATATTGTAAGAAGCGCTACAATGAGATAAATACATGGTTTACTTCATTTTCAACTCCTATAAACTTTAAATTGTAGTCCTTGTTCTACTTCAATTTTAAGCCACTCTTATGAGCAACAATCATATGATTTTGCTTGTAATGTATGTGCAAAGCATGTTATAAAATTATTTCAAATACAGTTTTCAAAAATAAATTTGATCCAAAATGGTATAAATTGACCTGCCCAATAATGGTACTATTGGAGTCACCGAGGCTCATACTTTTAACCAGTACTTCGAAAAGAAAGCATGGTATATTCTAAAATTTCAGAAATTATGATTTTTGATTTAAAAAAGAAACGAAGCTTCAACTTCCAAATAGTACTTCTTCAGAGCAACCTTGAGAAATATTTATGATCATGTGACAACCAATCAAAAGCCAATAAATTTTTGACTGCATATAATGTTAAATAATATTCAGCCCCGAGCAAAATCGTGAATGAAATTTTGAGGTACCAGATCTACTTAATATAATTGTTCTGTTATAACATAACTATCCGACCTAGTACATTTTTGGTAAATATAAGAAGCAAGGGCTTAACTTACATATCAATTTCACACAGTAATAAGTGTCCAATGCTTTAGTACCAGAAATCACGATAAAAAATGTCCAATGCTTTAGAACCAGATATCAACATTAAAGGTAATACAAAGTTTTGGGAAATTTTGAAAATTGTGTGGATAGTGATTCTTTACAATTTTGATACATCTGGATAAGCACTAGAAAATTTAGCCTCTAAAACACTTCTGCTTTCAAAAAAAATTTAATATAAAAATGTACCGGTGCTCCCGGTAAATTTTGATAAATTTCAACGGCAGCTGCGTCCATGAAAATGTAGTTGTGATATATAACTTCTAAACGGGAATAGCTAATCAGTTGATCAAAGTCAAGAAATATTATTTTATCGCTTAAATAATATCTTGACCTTGAGAGGAAGCTATACAACGTAAAGAGTTTATTATTTACAATTTCATAACTTAAGACTCGATTTCAACTGCGACAACGATCACTGAATATTGCAGGATCGCATATGCTTCCAATATGTTCATTTGAACCAAATTCATGACCCATACCAATACTTTGTATTCCCTTTAATAAATGTCCAATGCTTTAGTACCAGAAATCAACATTAATAAACGTTCAATACTTTAGTATCAGAAATCAACAGTAATATAAATGTCCAATGCTTTAGTTTACAAAAAAAAAAAGCCTTCTACACAAATGTTGTGTGCATAATCTAATTGCACTTAAACTTCACTCTAACCTTTTTTTTTTCCTACTATTTTTTAAATCGTGCAATGCAATACTCTATGACCTGACTATAATCTGAAATGGTATTCCAACATAAACAGAAGGAATCTTAATAATCCATGTACTCTATGTAGAAGGACTGAAAGCTTCAGGATTTTATGAAATCCAACTTATGGTTGCAATAAATGAATGATTTAAAAACAAGATGTTGTTTCAGATCATCTCCAATTCGGCTTTTATGTTGCCTAGGGGCTTAAATTTACTACACTGTAGATGCTTTTCATACCATTATTCAGAACATCATTAAGGTTTAAATTGCAAATTAATCATGATTGTCAAACAAATCAATACTTGTGTATAAGAAGCAATAACAGTGTTTTTACCTAAGCAGCTACAAATTTGGTAATACTTAGATTTCAGATTTCAGATTTTATTTCCGTTTCAAAACAAACAAAATATAAACAGACATAATATAATACAGTCAAATATAATATAAACAAAGTAAATTCAGTATTATGTAGAACAAAATTTAGTTGATAAGAAATATTGGGAAAAAACAGTACTGAACAATAGAAAAAAAATGATCTTGATGAAGTAATTCAAAACGGAGGGGCTTGCTAAAAAAGCAGAGCTTGTATGAGGCAAGCCCCTGACTTAGTTACATGGATACGCTTAAATAATTATGGTCGAAAGCTAATACCAGTAAAACACACTAAAAGGGAATACAAAAAAAAAAGAAAAAGTAAAAGTAAAAATAAAAGTAAGATAAATATAGTAACAGAGAGAGAGAGAGAGAGAGAGAAAGGGGAGAGAGCAAGAGAGAAATAGAGAGCGAGAGAAAGGCAGAAAGGCAGGAAGAAGGAGATGGGGACAGGAGGCAGGTACACCACCAGGTCGTTAGGCTTGTTTAGATTATTCTTAAAAAAGAAACAAAAAAGGAGGAAAGGAGGAATAACAAAAGGAAAGATTTGTTTTATCTTTCCGTAGGTTTAGATTTTTGAGCTTGGCTTGTTGGTGGGGAGTATCACCAGGACTCGTGATCAAACAAGTCAAATACTCTCAATATACAAATGTGCAATCATTAAATGACAATGTGATATCATTCCAGTTTTTTACACCATCAAAATATGAAGAGTTTTGAAAAAAGAAATTGTTTACCAAATTTTGTACAGGCCTCTATGGAAAAGTGATATTAGAAGGTACATTTTTTCATACTCGCTCCCATAATTTAAGTAAATAATTTTGTTGAAAGACGGTACTTAGGTGAACAATGTTCTGATATCAATAACTCAATTTTCATCAAAAGTGGATTTAGCTCCTTTTGGAATTAAGCTCATCAAATAAAGAGGGCATTGTAGATGGCCTGGGGTGAAATTAAGCAGCGAGTTTGGCACATGGATCCAGGTAGAACACTCCTGGAGCAATAAAGTTTTGGAGAAGCCAGGGTTTATATGGGCCTCTAAACCCTGATTTTAGTTTGATTTCATGTTAAATCATGTTGTTTGAAGTCTATACAAGTACATATTCAATGTGCAATCTCATAATTTTTCTAGTCTGTTACAAAACCCTTGTAGAATATCTAGTACTGGTTGGCACATCAGTGAGGGTGCAGTTTTCTATACAGTTTAACAATGGTAAATGTACATTGGTTTCAGGACCCTGGGAGAATGCAGGATAGCTGTTGACAGATCAGTCTGGCAGAAGATCTAGACGCCCCAGTAAAAACCAACCTCTCTCGACCCCTCACATAGGCATAGGTGAAGAGATGTCTAGATCACTTAGTCTCTAAAGAAGACGGTCCAAGTCCTCTGGATCTGCAGCAAGCAACACCTTGATAGAACAGGGCACCAGTTTCAGCGTGGCAGCAGGTTCAGTAAAGCAAGTCCTGCACTGGACTAGCTAGCCATTAAAGCCCCACTGTACTACTTATAGCTACTTGTGCCCTCTATATAGTTAACAACGCCTAATCGGTGACCACTGGTTCCCCATGATCCTCCCCGAGTTGATGGGATAGCCACCTGTCCAGTGACCTAGCAGTGTGGTCTAATCCCTCCTGCTCACTAGTACGGATGAGCTTCAAAAGGTCGGAATAAAAGCAAACTTTTCTGGATCTGTCAGAAGAACCTGGTAAAATACAGGACACTGGTGAAGAGATGGATAGATCACAAAGAGTCTCTGAAGAAGTAGGTCCATGTCGTCTTTAGAGTTGTACAGGAATTTTCCCAGTGATGGGCAGGACAATGGTTCATCCTGTGAAAACAAAACAAAAAAACAATTAAAATGTGGCCAACTAAATAAATTTTCTTGAAAAATGGAAATAAATATTTAAATAAAATAGGAATTTGAAGATTGTCACCAACAACAACAAAATAATTTACTAATATTTTCAGCACCAGAATTATTGTTTGTAAAGCTGTTTCTTAGGCAGAATAATAAGTATTGGCAGACTGGAACATCAAATGTACCACGCCAGACGAGATGCAGGTTCTCTTTTGTACCCAATGTTATCCACCTATTCAACAGTTTGTGGGGCGATAGCATTGGGAGGGGAGTTGTGATCTGAATCAAATACAATTTCTATTTATTCACATATCATAAGAGGCTGTTAAGATGAGTTAAAGAGAGGAATTTCCTTTTTTCCTGTACTATTTTATGCCAAACATTGGATTATGTAGCTTCCTTAAAATTTCTGTATTGTGATCATACAATGTATATTTGTCATTGTCCACTTCTTTGATATGTATAATTCTGCTTTTTATTGTTCAACATGTCGAAAAATAATTTCTGTTGTATGAGGGAAGTTTGGTCTACATTTATTTAAAGGTAAAGACCAGTTATGGTTATGCGATTGCATTGTGAAAGAAACCTTGTAAAAATCGATCAGAAAAGGTTGATCATCTAGCATAAATGTACTGCAAGGTTCTGGAATCATCAAAATGATAAGAAATTTGGCCAAGTCTTCATAAAGTTAGAAGTACTGTACACAGAAAGATGTATATGGGACTACACACACGTGTGCGACACGTGCATTTCATATCTCTCAACAGGCGAGAGATACACTAATTTACCAAATATATCAATTAGTAGGCGGTTTCCCGTCAAAATTTTTATCATCATGTAATATTCAAAACATATTCTTTCACATGATTGGGAATAAGAGCTTCCATTTCATTTTTTGAAATTGGGGCGTTTCCAATACTGGTCTTTACCTTTAAGTCGTTTGACTAATACACATTATTACAAAGCTGGACGTAATGACAGAAAAATATAATGTATGCAAGCATGAATAATCATGTATGCACTTTAACAAACAAAAAATGCACAACAATAAGTTTGGATTACAATTATGAATATTACCTAATAGGTTATTCATTCCCACCAAAACTGTCAATAAGCGAAATCTTATTAATTGCAGGCAGAGAGGGGGGAGGTACAATGTCAATGTTGCCAGTCATTAAATGTTAAGGGAGCATTCATCATATACTGAATGGCATTGTGATTATCAAGGATATAACATTTTGCTACTAATGTGGCTCCTTCTGCGCACAAAATATTTCTTTACTTCATGGCCTTGTTATCCTCAACATGGAAACTTAAGGAACCTGAAAGATGAAAGTGAACTTCTGTTGCAGCATGAGCGTGCATTTCTCCCCATCCTTTATGGATTTGAAGTGTACATGAATGTTACCACATATGTTAGTTCACTTTGGAGGTCAAATGGAATGTTCTCCTTAGATTTAACAACTGAACCCATGAATATTGAATTGCTAGGGACCAGGGGGAGGGGGAACGGGACGTGGGACGGAGGAGACACGTCCCCCCTCAAAATAATTTAGGGGGGAGGATAGTTCCCCCCCCCCCAGGAAATTTGAAAAAGTGCACACAAAAAATTAAGAAACTACTGACTAAAGACTGCATCACACTTTTAGGCTCTGGAGGGCCCAAGAGTGCAGCGTTTAGACTAATAAAAATGCAACGCTCCCTCAAATAATATCCTTCAAAAGTATTATATATATTTCTCCCTCCCCCCCCCCCCCCCCCACCATGAAAAGAAATCCTGCTCCTGCTAGGGACACTTGATTCAATGACCTATGCCTGATTCCACTGAATTTGTAAAAGTGCAAAGTATGTTTTTGTATACCTTTATCTCTGAGGTAAATTGATACTAGAATGATTAGATTTTAAATGAATAATGTCGGCCTCCCACAAACAATCCATTCTTTGTCTTGTGGCTTGGAACCACATCACTCTTGATCCAATAAGGATAATGCTTCTCACACACTGGAGATGAATGCATCACATTTGATGACACTCGCAGACTGCCTTAGGTCTCTTATTGAACTCGGACTTTGCCCAGAGAATTCGCTCGTTACAAGATTTCCCCAAGGCACTATCAGTGCTTACTTTTCAAATGCCTACCCTTCTGCAATGTGTACCAAAAGTATAGTGTACCGGTACCCAGCTTTGGTAGCTTTTAATTAAAAAGTCAAGACCAAAATGACATTGAAATCTATTTCATGATGACGAGTAACTTGTTTTCTGTCCAATGATACCGTATTCATAAAATTTATGCCTCGGGCGTCAAAAGTGTCATCAAACTCGTGTTCCTCCTGTAAGTTTATATATATATCTCATATCATTAAATTTTAGAATTTTTAATTAAAAATGTCAATAGAATGTGTTTTAAAAGAAAATTCTCTGGAGCTGTCATTCCATAATACTTGAAATAAGCTTTGGGCTACACACACCTGCGGGGCATGAAAATTTGATCAAAACTTGTTACCTCTTTCTCATCATATTGACAACATTCAAAGACTTTTTCAGGTAATATCAGGGGTGATAGTGAGAATTTAAAAAAAAATAGGTTTTTTGTTTTCCCCTCAACCACGCCCCCTTGAGTAAAAAAATAAAAAAAGGATTCGCGGGGAAAAAATGGCATCTAACAACATTTCCCCCTTTCGAGTAAGAAAATTGAGACAAAATTGGGAAAAAAATAGGGCAAAATAGGGAAGAATAGAGAAAATCAGGATAAAATAGGGAAGAAAAAAAAATTTGGTAAAAAAAAAAAAAAAAAAAAAAAAAAAAATCAGGATTTTTTTTTTTTTTTTTAAATCGGGAATTAAAAAAAAATCGGGAAAAAATCGGGAAAAAAAAAAAAAATCGGGAAACCGATTTAAATCGGGTTTTTATCAGGCCTGTAATATATTCTGTGATATTTTTCAAAGCTAGTATATAAGTGAATGAGAGAACTCAAAAATTCACCTCTACCAACCAGCACTGAAATCTCTCTTTCAATGCCCTTTTGTTAACCCTGTCTATACTGCTTCCCCGGAGAATCAATCTAATTCAATTTACCATTTTTCCCCCTAAAAATTTGAACTCTGCCCTTACAGTCTCGTGCAAATTTGACAAAGGCCTGGCTTTTATACCATTGTTATCGACCTTGCCATCTACATTTTCTTGATACTCCTGAGTTTTTTCGGCGTGTTTTTCACCCAAATTCGTAAAGTGGGTGTGAAAAGAAAACTTGCCTTGTCACCTATAGAGTATGTAAATTCTCTCCTTCAATTTTTTGTGGTTGTTTTAGTTTTGACATACATTTAATAAAAAAGCTACATATAGGATAAAAAGAAGTTAAATGTTAGATAGGATTACACAACCATCTTTAATACGTTACTTCATTTTTCTTGCCCTGGAAAAAGCATGAACTCGGTCCTTATCGCTTGAATCCCGGAAAAGCTTTTATCAGTATTAATGTTTGCTATGATGTTTTGTATTGTACTTTAATTTCATTTCAGCTGTAAATCCATCAGCCATTAATGACCACCCACTCTTATGGTTGGAATTACCACTTATCACCCACTCCAGATATACTTTCCTTGTATCATAAAATGTTATCAATATCTCTACAAATGTCAATGACTTTCCATGACATCCTAGAAAGGCAACTGGTTAGGAATGGATCGAAAGGAAGGAGATCAACATGATAATCGCATTTCAAGGAAAACAGAGCCACGGTGATCGGTATGGATTATCTGCCTACGGATCATGTTACCCATGACTTCAAATGAATTTTATAACCACCAAAAACTAGATATCCATCCACATTTACTGACATTTTTTGTGTGATTGCCCGGGAGAAGTATATTCAGACTCTGCTCTTCCAAATTAATTTGTTACAACTGATCAGATATATATATATATATATATATATATATATATATATGTATATGCAAACGTACGAGTGCAACTAATGGTCGTTATTTTCCCACTAAAGGTCTTTTTCAAGCCTTTTCATTTTGACGGAAGTTCTAAATTAGTATCGTCTTTCAAATGCCGTTGGAATTTAACCTTTTCATTTTTTGGGGCCTGCAAATGGTACATTTAAGAGTGATCATTTTTCAGGAAAAGTAAATTTGAAAAGTGGTCCATCCTACGCTCTTTTAAATTGAAATCATTTTACAATGCAAGAAGCCCGACCGAGTGGGTGAAAATAAAAGCATCACCCTTCTGGATTGTCAATAACAAATGAGAAGGAAAAAAAGTTTGCTGTCAAAAACTCAAATATTTATAATCGGTTAGCTGGTATTCAAATAATCAAATTCAATGAAATTTTGAATAGGCTCTCCTTTCCTCTTTTTCAAATACTTTCATTCCCCTCCTCTCACTTTTTTCTATAATTTGTGTGTAAAAAATCGACATGATATTACAGAGGGCATGAATAATCCTATGCCACACCCAAATATACATTTAGGTATGTTAAAGAGTGCTTTTCTACTAAACATCACACATTTGTAATCAGTTGATTCCCCATATTTGAATTCACTGCAATATTTGATAGCCCCCACACTTTTAAAGACATTCTTTCTCCCCTCCCATCTCTTATTTGTATCTTGTTATATATTTACCAAAAAAATCAATGATTAAAACTTGCAAATCTACCTAAAAGAGTCTCTACAGCCACAGAAACAAAATAGCAGTCATGTCAGCTTTAATTTCAATTTGGATCAACTTTCATGCAGATGAACAATTTTTTGTAAAACATGCAAAGCCACAAAATAATCCTTCAAAACTGAGCATCCCAAATCCTGGAATTATCCCGTTTGAAACCCAGAGATGCTAATAGTGTAGATTAGGCACAATTCTATTAGGCACAATTCTATGAAGAGCTCCAAGGCTATGCCCCCCCCCCCCCCCCCCCCCCCAAAAAAAAAACCCAGAGATGCTAATAGTGTAGATTAGGCACAATTCTATGAAGAGCTCCAAGGCTATGCCCCCCCCCCCCCCCCCCCCCCGCAAAAAAAAACCCAGAGATGCTAATAGTGTAGATTAGGCACAATTCTATTAGGCACAATTCTATGAAGAGCTCCAAGGCTATGCTCCCCCCCCCCCCCAAAAAAAAAAAGAAGAAGATAATAATAGAAAATCTGTCAAACTTTCTTCTTAAAAGGCTAGGTGTACATATGCTGATCAAATACTATGAACTTTTTGCCGATTGTTGTTGTTTGCCTACCGTAATTCCAAACAAACAATCTTGTATTACTTTACCAAGTATTTCATGTAAGGATTCATCCTCATTGCAAATCTTGACCATTCAGTGTCATGCACAGAAAGTTTCTGGTTTTGTTGTAGGCTGTAATACGGTGGATTCACAGTACACAGCGCCATTTCAACAGCGACACCAGTGTTGAGTTGATTTCTCGAAATGCACAATGGGGGAAAAAAGTCAACAAAAATATCAGCTGTGGCATTGTTGATAAGGAGATTAATCAGAATTTTGGTGGGGAAGGTTTGAATAACTAGGGTAAAATTTTGTACCGAGTCCAATAAAATATCTCTCTTATTGACCCTCCTCACAACATTTTTGGCTGAAATGACCATTGTGGTCACTTTTGATCAGGGGTAGTTTTTGTAATCATTATTAATTTATTATCCACAAAGGAGATTTGATAAGCCTATTTTATGTAAAAGAATTGCCCTGGTGTTATAAAAAAGGGGTAAATGGGACAGGATAGTAGGGAATGCTTGTGGGTACATCCGTTTTCATCTACAGGGGAAGTCCACAGTCATATGAGGTTAGTTTTCAAAATCATACAGATTGATGAAATGGGGTCATAATTTGTTTAAAGTCTGGAAATAGGGGGTCATTTCCAACTCCGCTAATAACCATGCATTACCCCTGTAATAACATCTCTGGGTTCAGTAGTGAATATTCAAACCTGTCTAAGTTGATACTTCTTTATAAAGGCTACCTGTCTATATTAGTCCCCCACACTTAAGTAGTAAAAAAAAATTCTTGTCTAGATTTCTGTTTCTTGAGAATCAAATTTACATCTAAATCTATTCAACAAAGGCCCTAATTCAACCAGTCCAACTTTCACTCTCGAGTTACGGAAAACACCCCCCCCCCCCCCAAAAAAAAAAAAGATCAACTTCGCAAGGAGTATGCCTGAAGCATATCTCCATACAAGATGTGTGTATAGCCCAAGTGCAAAATAAAAACATCTCTGCCATGAACTGCATGAATCAAATGAATGGCAAAAAAAGAAGCAATGATAAAAACGTAATCACAATAATCACCTGGCAGCATGTAAAAGCATGAACCAGTCCAAAACAGCACAGACAACAAACTAGTACACAATTTGCAGTGGAGGTATTTGTTGCCAGCAGTGGCAGATGTGGTTGTGACACTTGTTGCTGGTATGTGTGGTGCTTTGGACGATGGTAGCGGTGCTTTAGTTGTGGCGAGAGCGGCGGGCTCGACGGGGACGACGGTACTGTGGGAACTCCATATCTCCATCGTCAAGCTGCGACATGCAGACGCCGCATACGATGAAGAGCGTCGGCAGGCCCAGGATGACGGCCAGACACATAACGATGGATGTTGTGTCCATTTCCTAAAGAAAGAGAGAGACAAACACATACTTGTGTACCAGGCAGGCAGCAAATGAATATGGAGATGAACAGTGATGGATGAATGCCATAATATCATTCCAATAATTGCATAATAAACTCATAATAAACATGCATATCGTATCTGTGCAAAATTTACCCATACCGGTAATCAATTTTAAAAAAAAATATAATAATGCGAATTTTGCAAGTGTCATGAAGCATTTACTTATTTGAGGTAGATGATGAAACATATATCATGCATGATTATGGATGATGTATCACAGCTAAATTAAAATCATGCTACTTTACTTTTAGAAAGCAAACAAATCTCACTTTTCTAATACACAATGAAGATACTTATTCTGCTAGGGAAAAAAAGAAGATTTTGTTGTAAATTTCAACAGCAGATTACTGTAAATTTCAGTCACACTCACCACTAAAATGTTAAATATTGCCTAGAGTACTTTAAAAATGGAATTAATAAAACTATTTGTGGAAAAATGTTTCGACATTTCCTTGTTCACTATGAATAATGCACCACTTTCATTCATGATTTACACACAAAAAAGAAATTACATGGTTATTTCATTACCATGAAACAACTCAATAAAAAAGAATCTTATTTTCTATTTTTTTGTAATCCTTATCACTCTATTGTATGATAATGAATGTCAAGAAGAACTAGGGTCAAGGTTCAAGGTAGACAAACTTTTTCCTGCATTAAATGTACATTGATAGCCTATCCACACAGTGCATAACCTGGTCCCACTGTGCATGTTGTTTCACATTAACCTTATGTATCAAGCAATGTTGACATTAATATTTGCAGCTGTTTTCTCCGTTATTGAGATTTGTATACGGTAGATTTAGGAAGACAATATTGCAAACATCCATAACTTTTTCATTACTATTGATATTCTGTTTCTCTTTTTTTTTCTGCTTTCACACAAATGAGCTTATACAAAAGGTTGCATGCCCTATGATATTTGTAACAGCTCTCTCTCTCTCTTTCTGGCTTTCTCAATATGTCTGAATTCTTTTGTATCCCAGTGCTAAGCCTATATACAGTGCCTACTGAACTTCTGGGGAGTTATTCAGAGGAATTTTTGTTGTTGATATTTTGAGACTCAAATTTCATCTTTATTTCATCTCAATCTCTTACCTCTTGTGTGCCATCATTCAAATAGCTTGGATAAATCAGATACTGCAAGGTTTGAAGTTTTGAAGCCAAGATGAGGCAAGAAAAACTGAGTAAATATTGGCTGAATAGGCATAGGACTTGATCATTGGGTACAACCTGACTCTATGTTGCCTGGCATTGTAACAGTTGTAAATCCTCACTTCCATATATCAATAAACTAGTTTACTAATGTATTCAATTTGTATGCAGATTTAGAATAGTTGCCCCTGCAGGTGACCTACATGTAGATACTTGAAGAGTAGAGCTTTGACTAATGTTGTTTGTAAATTAGATTCCTCTCATTCAAAACAGGTGAATGAATACATGGTAGGATTACACATCCAGAAGTTTGGATGCATTAGTACACAGCTGAAGCTTAAGTCTTATGTCTATTCTCATTCAGTATCTTAAGAAGCGAAACAGCTGAATGGTCTATTGATGGTTCAATGGGGAAAGTTAATTATTCATCAAAATCAGGTCATGAATATTTGCATTGCTTTATTCAGCAGTCTATTCGTAAATCAGGGAAAGTCAGGGAGAGGTGATGTCTCCTACTAATTGTGACCAAAAATCCTTTTCAGTAAGGTAGAGTATATAAGGAGACCTTATTCAGGGATGGGCGTGCCAAGAGGATCACATGCGGGGCCAGTGTACAGACAGGGTTCATTTATGTGTAGGGATGTTATGTATTATGTATTCTTAGAAGATAATTAGAATAAATTAACATTAACACATAACATAACATCACTAACATAACATAACATAAATAAATAGTGTAAAGGGTAAAATAGGTGCTGTAAACTGGCCTCGTTTATTATCAGTGTTTCATGTGCATGTTTCGCTGGCATGGATTTCCCCTGATGATACATGTAATACTGGTGGCATTTTTGTCTTGAAAACAATAAATAAACTAATATATACACACAGTGAGAGTCCAAAGCTCTGGTAAAATAAAGAGGGAAAAAAAAGGCCCTAAAATATCTTTAAAAGTGAACAAATCCGGTAAAAATACAATAGCATGTTTGGAACGACTTAAAAGGAGCTCCTGTGCAAAAAACAGTTTCACCCTGATTGGCTGAAAGTTGCAACTGTACTATGAGTATGAAAGGGGGAGGTTTTGTATGTACAGTGTAGAAAATGCTCATTCAAGTCCACCGTGATATTTTGTTTTGTTCCCATAACAGCAGAACAAGTTAGTTCTGAGCCAGAAATGCTTTAACTCTGTGTTAAAGTATATGAGTTAATGCATTTCTAGCTCCAATCGGATGATATTTGCAGTTACATCTATAGTGCCTGTATTTTCTAAACAAAAATCTATGGATTTTTTTGGTGGAAAGAGCAGAGAATAATTGCAGGAAAAGTAAAATGTAATTTCCTATACCGTAAAGTAATGTTAACTTATGAATTTTCGTATAACAAACACACTTACCGGTACCCATTTCTCATGCTCATTTCTGTTTTTTCTGTCTTTAACAAAATAGCCTTGATATCTAAATGGACTATCAGGACCCAAGCAGACAGACTTACCCGGTATGGGAGGGGTTAATGATGACATCATAGGGGAACTCCCACACCAGGGATTCTTACCCTATCTACTACATCACTGCAAGACTTCAATCTCAACACTCAATACACAATCACACATGAACCACTTCAGACTGAAGGGAATTTATACACAAAGCGTAAAAAGAAACGTTGTGTAAAGAATCATCACATAGCGAGAGGAGCATACAGACTAGAAAAAAAGCATCATACAAAGAAACTTTGTATAAAGAAACAGATTTGGAGAGAGGTCAAAACATCAAAGCGTGCTCACGGCAAGCCAGGCCCAGTTTTACCAATTTTTCTCATAGCCTACAGCGGGACCCTGATTTTGTACAGGGTTCTCATTCCAAAGTCCAAATGATGCTCAAAAATTCCATCTCGCTATCCGACGTTTCATTATAAAACATTTCTTTATACAACGATTGGACTAGAAAAAACATGTGATTCTTTTCCTACATGAAGAGTTATGGCAGCCTGAAAACAGGGTTGGGTGCAGTGCTGTGCATGTGAACAGTTCACAGTAAATGATCACTTTTTCTTCTCACACCCTAAGTCATGCCGCCTGCATATATGTTTGTTTGGAACCAGAAGTGCATTATAAACTCTGTGTTCAAGTATATGACCACACAGTTGTGATAAAAAAACCAACAATATATCAATATCATGTTGCTGGAGTGGCCATTGAAAATAAATGGAAGGCATTTTTAAATTGTAATAAAATACTTTTAATGTCTATTTACATCAATAAAAAAGAACCCTCTGTAAAATTGTGGCGATTAATTTATCCATTTACAGCACCAAAATAGAACCATCCAAATTACTATAAGGACAAGTTTTGTTTTAATTTTCTTTTTACAGAACTAAAATCAAACACTCCAAACAACAATGAATCGGTTGGTTAATGACCTTCTGGCTCGGAACAGATGAATCCTCCAATCTTTTTTTTTTTCTTTTTTTCTTTTCTTCAAGTTTTAAAAGTGCTAGAGCTGATATTATTTGCGGATGACACTAGTGTATAGAAGCTGATAAGTATAACTACATGACTGTAATAGCATAAATGAGTGGATGGGGCTCTTTTCAGTACTAGATGTACATGCAGCTCCTCTACAATGGATATTGACGACTACATGTATGTAAGTAACAAAATAGGGCTAAGAGACTATGCACAGTGATCTTAACATTTTAAAAAATGCTACAAAATACAAGTGCTCAGAATCTACATGTATATGTTAAACGAATAAATGAATAAAATAATAAATTATAAAAATTTAAAATTTAATTTTTTTTTTAAATATTAATAAAAAAAATTAATGAATGAACTAATAACTAAAAAATTAAGGTGATGGGGAGAAGAGGGTTAATGATGGACACTACAAATAAAACACTTGACCACGTGTACAGTGTACAACATGCAAGACAACAAAAAGCATGCTTTTACCTGTTTCCTAGCTTTATCCTGAAATTACACGCAATGCAGAGAAAATGAAATAAGACAGAGCACACACAGTTATTGAGAAATGCAAAGTAAGTTCTCTTATTCAACCGCAAACATTAAGACATTCTCATACAAATATATAGAATTCAGTATACATACAGTATATATCTAAAAGCACACATTATAAAAGGCACAAGTAGCAAAATACAATTGCACAAATTTTACAACTATCAATAATCAATTTCTAAAGAGTAAAGATAGCAGTTTACTACATGTACATACTGTATGATGTACAGTATGATTTACATAAAACTATAAGAAATTTAAAAAAAACACTGTTTAATTTGCATAACTTTGTAAAAGAAATGTCAAGCTATTACAACAACAGCGTGAGAAGAAACTTGACTTTTCCAGCCTACTAAGAATTATAATCATTTATGACAAATTGCTTTGAGATCATAATTATATTGATACCACAAAGAAGCATTTGTCAATTGTCATATAAATTATTAATTCTTTCACTTATATCGCCCCCCCCCCCCCCACCACCTTTATTTATCATTCATATGACAAGTAGATAAACAAATTATTGTCAAAACTGCCCCCTTTTCCAATAAGGGGTCACCTAAAAATAAGAGAGCCTTAAGTCAAACTAAACTTTTCAAACATGCTACATTTTGTACATGTAACTACAAATACTTGAATATTGAACTTAATATTTAAAAGTGCACGTATACATTATATAATGAAACAAACACCACTGGAACAAGGAAAGAAGTCAGATTGGAAACAGGTCCTAAAAAGCTTTTGTTTCATGTATTATTGATGATTACTACAGATGTTTGTGTTCTGTGCCAATACACTATGAAAGCAATTCATTGATTTTTCACTTTTCTGTGGTTTTGCTGAAAATTGTTGTCTACTTTGCAATTTAGCAATCTGTGGCACATTAGAGGAACATGTTTGACCATGGTAATATCCATTCAAGGGGGAAGGGAAGAGAGCAAATTTGGAGCACATTCTATTATAGGAAATCTCTCCCGTCCTCCAACTTTAAAATCGTTCCCACGTGGACCACCTGGTTTTGCTCCAAGGAGGTGTAGATTTAAAGAAAGTTGTAAACAGTAACAGCTCTTTCATATTTTGAAAGAGTTTGAGTACAAAAGTTTAAATTTGTATTAAAACAGAAAAAATGTAGATGCACTGTATGTAGCAGTATGTAATATGAACATGTAGAGGTGTCATGGTCGAGTGGATATGTCACCGGACTGTGGATCACAAGGTCTGCGGTTCGAGTCCCGCCACGGCACTAATGTCCTTTGGCAAGACATTGATCTACATTTGCCACACTCGACCCAGGTGAGGTAAATGGGTACATGGTAGGATTATTCCTTGATATGCACTGTGCGCGATAATGTCTGCCGGAGCTTAAGGTAGGAGAATTATTTCCAAAGCTCTTTGGAAGCTCATAGAGACGTTGTGATATGCGCTATACAGAACGGAATATTGATTTATTCAAAGATGTGACTTTAAAAAAACTTTATATAATATCATTTTATTCTTAATATTATATGACTCAACGTCCTTATGGCCCTAAACCTAAAACACTGTAGCTCCTTGAGTGACATCAAATATTATATTATGGGCTTTGAATGCATCATTACTAATTGTTTTGTGAGCCCAAATCTGTTTGTTTTGAAGTCCTAATGATTTTACTGATGAGTCAATAAATTGAGCCTATACTGTTTTTAACAAGTTTGAGATTTCAATATAATTTTGTTGGTCATTGATCACATATATTTCCTTTAACAGCTTTACTCCCAAAAAGCAATTTACTATTTCGCTGAAATTTTGACACTCCTGTGGACTACAAGCTTTTCTTCTACTCCTGTGAATAGCTACATGAATGTTGTGTTATTTGCAAATGTTTTTATTCTAATTGTGATCAATTAAAGCTTACTTAATATGTAATATCATGTGTGTAAGAAAAAAAATAACAATGTCTTTGTGTTATTTGTTGTTAGATCTGTGGGCAAAGGGTGCCTATATGTCAGCAGAGTTGTGCGCAATCTAAGTGTAGAATGCTATCTAGAAGTGTTTGTGTCAAACTAATAGTCATAAAGTGCAGTATTTGTACTATTTTTTCAAATAAAAGATTATGCCTTGAATGATTGCCATGATTGTTTTTCATTTGAGGATGAACATGCCATTACAAAATCTTATTTCTTTTCCATAGTAATTTTGAATAGAATAGCTGCAAATTACAATATCTGTAGACACACCAAAGAAAAACTTATTTCTAAATTGATTGCCATGATATTTGTTTCTTTCTTCATATCTATTTCTATATTAAAGGTAAAGAGCAGTATTGGAAACGCCCCAATTTCAAAAAATGAAATGGAAGCTCTCATTACCAATCATGTGAAAGAATATGTTTTGACTAATACATGATGATAACAAATTTGCCGGGAAACCGCCTACTAATTCATATATTTGGTAAATTTGTTTCTCTCATGGTCTGTGAGAGATATAGGGTAGTCCCATATACATCTTTCTGTGTATAGTGCTTGTAACTTTACGAAGAATGGGCCAAATTTCTTATCATTTTGATGATTCCAGAACCTTGCAGATGCTAGATGCTAGATGATCAACTTTTTATGATCAATTCCACAACGTTTCTTTCACAATGCAATCGCATGACCATAACTGGTCTTTACCTTTAAGACTGATATAATTCTAGAGAGTTCTAGTGTGGTCATGAAATCGAAGAACAGTGATGCTGTAACCTTGAAATAGGTATGAAAAGCTGCCAACCTTGTGCAACCAAAAAAAGAAATTCATTTAAACAAAACTTACAACCACGACACACTTCTAATGCAAAAATGTCCAAACCTCATGTTGTTATTTCCATAATAGGACCTATAGTTTATTTACAAGTAGGTGGAATTTTGTTAACGGTTTGTTTTGGATTATCAGCGTTTCATTCTTATTTAATATATTTACACCTTTCACTATTCTTTTTTTAAAACTATTTGTAAATTATAAATATCTATTGAAGTAGTGATCAACATTTTAGGGCATTTGGTTGGCATGCGGTATAACCCCCCCCCCCCCAAAAAAAAAAAAAAAAAAAAAAATCCTATAATTTTGAGGGGAAAATGGAAAAATTCTGGGGAAAAAACGTAATGGTTGGCAGCTCTGAGTATGTGTTATATCATTATTATATTGATTGAGATGGATTAGCAGGTTTGACAAACAAAAGAGATGAACATCAAAGGAAGAAATTATATATACAAAGTAATTTTTACCCGATCATGATTGACAACCCTGTGATATCTTTTTGCCACCTGTCAAAAAAAAATGTTTGTCCAATTTTGTTTTTTTTTAAAGAGTAAAAAGGAAAGAAATCCATAAATGGTAACAATTATGCAGTAATTTCTGAATGTCTAACCTTCAAAGAAAAATGTCTGTTTTATCTGCATGAAATGATAACCTTTTTAGAAAGATGCCACTTTGAAACGTGAAAGAGTAGAAGCTGGCTAATATTGCTTCTTCAAAGAGGGGTGTCGGCAATGTCTATGGGTGATTTAATTATTGAGTCATTCCACTCATGCAAGCTTTATCAATCAACTGAAGTCTTAGCTCTTGTCATAAATGACAGATCTTTATTACAGCGCAAAGCTGATCAAAACCCCAAAGAGTGCAGTGCCTTTCAACATAGTCCATGCTTTCAAGCAAACCATTGCCTGGGGCCGGTCGCGTAGTAGGCTTTCCATCTCCATAATATTATTTTCTGTCTTTGTTGTCTAAATTGTCAGGAAGACCAGTGTGCAGGCGTTTCCGAAAATAGCAATAATCTTTATCTTAACTAAATTTTGAACATAATTCCTAGTATAATCTGAGGAACGATTTATACCTATACACATACAAAATGCAAATATGACTATAACGCATTGATTCAATAACTGCATGAGTAAAATATCCTTCTGAACTTCAATCTAAATTGTCCATCATACATGTATAAACAAAATAAGCATTTCAGAAATAAGTACACAAATCAACTTAAAAACAAACCACATTTCATGAGAACCAATGAACGAAAGGTGCACAAAATAACTTATGTCCTCTCCCATAAGGAAAAGAGTGACATATATATATATATAGCACTTCATTTAATGGGCAAGCAAAGCCCATTGGTACATACTTTATTTGTATTTGGACGAGTGGAATTGCTATTGGGGCATGTGCTGTGATAACATAGTAGTCAAGGAATGGAAGTGTAAATACTGTACAATCACTTGATAAAACTAATGGCCCTCCACCAAATTATTAAAGGTACTAGATAATATTTTTCAACAAAATTAAAATAACCATATAGCAAGAAGCCATAAAACATTTAATAATAAAATCAAGTGAACAAAAAATCTTTAATAAGTGAAAACAAAAGTTGCAATTTTAACATTTCAACATACAGTAAATTAAGTTATTTGGGGAATAGCTTAAATTTACAAATGCAAATATGATATTTAAGTACATACATTTTTTTTCTCCCTCAAATTAATTTCAGTGATGAATATCAACTAGTGCCTTTACAAGACATGATCCAACAAGAAATCATATACAAACACAATACAAGGAAAAGCATCTGGTCGTTGTTTGTTATTCAAAAGTCAGACAAGCTTTAATACAAGCCCCATTCAATCTAAATGCAACAAAAATTAATTGGCACATATAACAAATATTTTGCAGCTTACAGATCTCATTGCATTAAAAATGTCAAATTATCAACCACAATTGATTAAATAATAGAATATAGAACTGATTCACTATCAAATAACAAAATAATAAATAAAAAGAAATAAATAAGAGTGGAACTTACTCTAGCCTCTCTGGAACGCCCTCCTCTTTGGAAATACTTTATTCCTAAAATACAAACACAAACGAGCTCAGAATTGGGGAAGATCTTACTTGAAATTATACAGTAGAATGACATTTATTTGATCATCAGAGTCAATAATACAATAACATGTTTTCCATACACCATATATAAAAGGAAAGCATGTACAAATGTATGGTAGTGTGACCATAGTTCGCTGTTGATCTAAGTTCAGGCGAAGATTCCATATCTAAAATATCAAAATATGATATTACCAATTAAAAGAGGAACCTAGAATTACCTGGTCACAAATTATTTGTTCAAATCGTGAGAGAAATTATGAAAATATTAACAATAGATCAGCAACTTTTGCAGCGTTTTGGATTTGTTCCGAAAAAAAATACTCATTGACAAGGATCTTGAAATATTCATTTAGAAATGTGTCAACAAAAGTGTGAGTAAAATGTGTTACCAACTGAATTGCATAATATTATGCCTTCCAATTCATGACATTGTCTTACTTGCGGTGGATTGCTCTTTTGGATAAATCAGTTGTAAACTCTGTTGCGTCAATTAAGGACTCACATTTTAATGACTTTTTCCTCTGTTGTAAAGCACGGCAGATCTGACCTTGAATTTTGAGATTGCGATATCATCGTAATTCTGCTGTTCATTTGGTAGTAACCAAACTGAATAAATTTGTGTAGAATACGTGAAATCATGGATCGAAAATCACATTCCTAATATTTATTAAAATCGGTGCGAACTTTGATCACCCTATCATACTATAGTATAGCATACATTTTGTTCAATCACGTTATCCTCATAACATTTACAATTCACAACAAACGTTGGTAGAGTGAGATATATAGAAGTAGGTAAAAAGAACGATGAGCATCTAAAAACTAATCCTTTCAGCATTCATTGTCATATCACAAGAAAATTGATGTTTCTAATTTAGAACATTCAACATTTGATTGCAATATTATACAATCATTATTAAAATTATGGAAAATACAAATGTCAGTCAGTTTTCTTTTAACTAAATCCAAAAGTTACATACTTTTTGTAGTTTAGCACACAAGCATTGATTTTGCACATGATTACATGCATGTTTCACTAAGAATATACTAGTACATTAATACATGTACACATTTGCAAGTCTCACATTTAGTTTCATTCATATGCATAAAGAAATACAAATTAGACAAACTTGTCTAAAATTACTCTGTAAAGGAAAGCAAAGGCAGAATTGGCACAGTGACAACTAAACAAATGTACACAACTTAAGGATCATGAAAATGAAAGTCCTAACATTAAATGTAAGGCCTCAAAGTCAATTGTTTAGCTTTCTTTGAAAGATGATAAATACATTTTAATTACATGTTTATAACAATAATTTGAAATATGTATAATTGTAAATGACAAAGTAAATGAAAAGAAAGAATGGATAGATGTACGAGAAAAAGTGTGGCAGCCTCCTACATATATATATTTAGATATTGAAATTGAAATTGAAATATTGTTTTGTACTTGTTTGGGGGTTTTCCCCAAGTACTGTGTATTTTCATGTTTCTCTTTTAAACAAGTTTTTGAAATAATTAGTACTACTTGCTTATTCTAAATTGTGCAATTCGGCAAGAATATTTTTTATTTCTCTGCGGCATCATATGAGATAGTCTACTGCCTCATGTATGAATGGAGCTTTACCTAACCAATTTAGTGTAAGCATGGTCTATATAAAAGACAGCTACAAGCTCTCGGTCTGATTAATGGAGTCAATGTGGGCGGGCATTGTCTTTTTGGCAGCTCCCTTTAATGATCAGGATTTTTTTATGGGGTGATTCTGCATTCCTTTAATGAGAAACAACTCTTTATGAGTTTGGAACAGAATTATGGGCAGAAAGTGAGCACACTAAAACCTGAATGCAAGACACGAGGGGGAGTAATTGGATTTTTCATAATGAAATACCGCAAACCAGAATAAGATGCCTAAACAAGGGCAAATCTGACATCCTACATCACCAACTGAGTTCATCATTTTTGCTCGTCTAAAACAAAATTTTGCAAGGTCTATATTAAACACAGTTTATTTTATGGTTAAATGAAAATTTTGATCAATTCGATGACAAAGATTATGTATTATTTTTCATCTTGCAATGAAGTAGAACTGCCACACTCTTCCTCTTATTTTCCAAAAAAAAACAATAAATACAAAATTACTCAAATACCTTTAAACAATGCTGATGGAAAATAACAACTAGATTGATTGATAGATTGATGCAAAGAATGAAAGATGAAAGTAAGTTTTTTCAGAAAGTACCAGGAATTATAAGTAATTATTATGTACTTGGTGTACCGGTATGTTAAAATACTGAATATGCAAAAATACCAGAGCCAAGGCCACAGATTAACAAACAAAAATTGGTAACGTATGAATTCAAGTTCATTAAAAGATAGAGTACCAACAAATCCACCAAAGAAAATAATAGTTGAAAGAAAATAATGAAAGGCATGCTTGAAAAAAGACTCAATGAAAAACAGGGGAAAACAAGTAAAACCAACCAAAACTTGCATGCAAAGAATAAAAATTGAAAGCAAAAAATAACAAAAATAGAGCACATCAGTTAAACAGCCTCTAGTATATAAAGAGCAAGTATCTAAACTGCAAAAGTTCAACTCCAATATTAAATGGAATGCGCAATGTTGGTAAAGGGCTATTAAAATTGACTTTTGTTTCTTTAATTTCTAGATATATCTACACAGAACATGTAAATCTATATGAGGACACAACCTTTATAAAATTGATTTGAAATAAAATAATAATAATGGCATGTTAGAGAAATAATAGTGTTGATGTGGCAATTTTACCGCTGCCAAAAAATATCTTGTGGCATAGCTTGTTTTTGTGATGATGAATATCATATGGACGAAACTGTTTGAACATCCAACTATGAGATAAAATTCTCCATTTACATCAACATATAGTATTATAATGGTAAGCACCAATGAAAGAGGACTTTTTTTTCCTTGCTTCAAGGCTCACTTTTTAAAGATATTGTAAGATCACGGGCCATTAAAATTCCTTTTTTTTTTTAAAGTTTTATCAACCTAATGACCTTTTCCAACACTGTTAATACCTTTCAGCAAATTTAATAGGATAAAAATAAACAATGGACCCCTTTGTAAGCAAAACATATATCTATAATACTGAAAGATAGCATGGAGAAGAAAAAAAATAATACTACTTTATTAAAACACAGTGCCAGGTAGAGTGGAATTCTAAAATCCGACAATATTGCTGTACAAGAAACAAAGCATCACATTTAATTGAACCCAAAATGAGATTAAAAGTAGAATTGTGACAGCCGACAATATAATTTAACCAGCCACCAAAGTAATGAATGCATGTTCTAATACTGACATCGATTTTTATTTCCTCTTAATTTTTTATCCCAGAAGAAAATGTATGACCTGCTTCTAAAGTAAAGCAACATTACTCAGATTCTTCAGATAGTTGTGATTTGAAGACTTTTTTTCTCTTTTAGAAACTAGACTTATCCTTAATCATATCCTTTTTGGAGGGTAATTTTTATGTATGAATAACAATAATGATAATAATAAAAATGACAAAAAATACTTCCTTGGCAATCTTCGCAAATCTGGGGTCTCTTATAGAGTACTGTTTTTGTACAATTGTTACTTTATTTTAGCACCAGGTCATAGAAAATAATAGAACACTGCCACCAACAAGTAAAAGTACACAGAAAAGTTGAAATGAATGATTTCTACTGATTAAGTACACTAGACTACAACAGTTAAAGACAACCACCACCACGATATATATCGATTCCAGAAGACAAGAATGGGTAGACGAACATGATGATGAAGATGTTGATGATCATGAGGAATGGTGGTGAGAGTGAGAGTGAGAAGAGGGGGGACCGCGCCCGGACCACGCCCATTTTCATCGCCTACCTTTCAAGTGGAAGAGCTTGGAGAAGGGGGTATCGAGACTCTTGGAGGCCTGGTCGTAGCTCCGGTTCCAGGTGGGGTGATGGAATGTGAGGTTGTAGGTCTGGGCCCAGCGGGCAAAGATGGCCTTCTCGGTCATGAAGCGGTGGCCCCCCTTGGGCGTGGCTTCATGCACCTTGTAGTAGGTGCATTCGGTGGGGTTGGACCCGGATTGGTAGTAGTGGTACTTCACTTTTTCATTCTCAAAATGTCTGGTTGAGGGGCATAAGAAGAGAATGAGAGAAGACAGCATAAAAGTACTGTACATAAACTGCATCAATAGTTAGGTTCACAGGACAGTTGGTTAACTTATAATTTGTTAAGTTATTGTTTTAAAATTGAAAGTTATCTTGTAGTTGGGGACTGAATCTTAAACTTTACGAGGGATTTTATGGTTAGAGTGATAACAATGAGCAGCGGGGGGCTCCTAACTTGAAATCATGTGCTGTGTGGATGTACATGCAATAAATTTTTAAGGTGACGCCAGCTTGCTGTTAAAATTAATGCTTTCCGGTTTGTATTCTAGAGCTCTAAATAATTGTTGCTTTAGTCATGTACGAACCCCTGCCATTGTTAGCAGATCATTGTTTATAACTTAAAATAACTTATAAACTTTAATAGAGCTTTAAAAATATGACGGTACTGTGTGAACATAATATTATGAGGTGTGTCTGATCAAACTGGATGATAAATTGTCAGAAAGGTAGGCAGATATTTGCTCATGGCACACTTATTCCAGACTGTATTTTGTTAAAGGGTTAAGGTCACGATTGCAAACTAGTTTCTGGTTGATTAAAGGTTACGGCTTTGGGAAGTACATGTACCTTCCTGTATAGTGTTGGGTACGCTATTAAAAAAAGACATCTAACTTAGTAATGTAAGATATCTGCAGGGGAGTGATAATCGTTGTGTCGTACAATCATCAAATAAGTAGCAACATTTCTGATTAAATTAAATTCCCTTAACAGTGAGACAAAACATAAATTTACTTCTTGCCATAGGTCATACATCTGGGAATGGAATCTGAAACCATTTTATTTACAGTCCAAAAACTTACATGTTTACAATAAACCATAACAATTTTACTATTCATACAGCAATTATGGTCCTTAGTTCTCATTTTTTCAAGGATACATAAACAAAAATTAACTTTTAAATGAGAGAATATTATTCAACAGTAGATTTGCTGGTATCACTAGAATTGAACGACATTCACTCCAGTTGTTCAATTGGCACTTTAAAAACAAGATATCATCACGTTGATAAAACATATCTGAACAGAGATTTTGAAGAGTAACACAAGTGGTACAACTTACACACAGTGATCATCAGGCACCATGCCGTACACCTTGACTTCCCCACAGATATCTAGAGCAGTCATGATCGTGAACCAGCCTGTTGATAACCAGCTGTTTGTATCCATCCTGTTCACACGTGATAAACAACATTGAAAGATAATGCTTAAAACACAAGCAATCTGTGTAGATCTAGCCAATCAATAACTACCGGTACATGTACTGTACATGTAGGTGTTAATACCCATCCTGTTCACACTCAAACAACAGTGAAAGATAAAGTTTATAACAGAAGCAACAGAATTAAAGCGTGACTATTTACTTGATCTCTTCATTCTCTTTGCTAATTACTCAGCTATTTCCTACCAAATTGTTTGAGAAACATGACATATTTAAGGCCTTCAGTATGCAGGGTATAAGATTCTGTTTATTCTACGAGGGGGCAAGTCTAAGTTACATGTATCTTGTCCCAAACATACTTTATCAATTATCATGTACATGTACAGTGTACGTTTTATACTGACCACATTTAAGATTTAGGTATACAAATACCAGTATACCGGTATACATGTATCTAATGACTGTTCAGTACATCAAGCTCAAAGCACTGCTAGACATGGAATCATATATACATGTATATACAACACATCAAATAAAAATATATTTTTGTGTCAAATTGTGTTCACAATTCTTTAAATAATACTTTGGTCACGAATGGTACATACAGGTATGTGGGACTTGCCCAAGAATATGTTTTCTGTTACTAGCAGAACTCAAGATTGCCTTTAATCATGGATAGCCAACAATAACAAACAAAACCACCTTAAAATCACACATTCTCCCAAAACAAAGTTGAATGTTCTCTCAAGCTGTTAAATGTGGAATGGTGGAGGTCAAACAGGCTGGGTAGTTTTAAATTGTCCCTATAAGGGGCAATATGAGATTTGAAGACCATCATGGAAATTCCGTGAATAGCATGGGGTAATAACATTCCAATGTGACAAAATGCACACATGAGAATTCGCTCCCCATCAGTCTAGAAAGATATGTGCAAAGACTCGAAGCCCTAGGGTAGTACATCAACTCTAAACTACATTTGTACTATAATTATGTATATTCTTGAAATTCAGGATATTGAAGATTTTACAACGCAAAGATGCACTTTTCTATTTACATGGCACAACCTTACATTGAAACTGTATTGGAAAACAAATCACTGTATGCTAACTTGAAAAGCTATTTCACCTTTGCCATATACTGCTATGTATTTTAAAGCATTACCAACATATACAACTCTTATGACAGTGACCCGGCATTGCCCCTGGGACAATTGATACAGATTTTATTCTTCAAAGAAATAGGGTAAGTGAAACGGTTGCAATTGGGATTCAGGTGAGGGTTTGGGTAAGTAGAGTGTTGGGTCCAGGGTAACAGATAAGAATTTGGTTTGTGTTGGAAACTAACGCAGATCAATTATTGCAGAAGCAAAAATTCTTCATTAGTAATATTCTGCATTTATATAGCGCTTAATTAAATAAAAATGTCTCAAAGCGCTTTACAGATATATCATTACCCTGGCCATCGGATTCAAACTTCCCCGCACACAATGTATACACATTCTCCACTCTCTGGGGAGCATTCCAGCCAGGCGCCATTTTACAGATGATCAAGGCTGAGTAAACTACAATGACTTTCGCATCTTATCAGTACACATTTAACAACTGGGTGGAGAGTGGCAAATGTATATCAACATCTTACCAAAGAATGTTAGTGCCAGGCCGGGATTTGAACTCGTACCTTGTGATCTACTGACTGGTGACTTATCCACTAGACTGTAGACCACAACACCTTTACAATCCCAATAAAAACATTTCATTTCAATAAATAGATGGATCAACTATAGGCCTGCCTACCTGCTAGCTCCCGTCTCCCTTTCAAAGAGTCTGTTGGCTGACAGCTCCCCCTCGTTCCGATGGGAATAGAAGCGTATATTCATAAACTTCCTCTGCAAACTGGTAACTTTAGGCACTGACTGAGCTTTGCTCTTACTCCTGGGCGCTTCAAGACCCCAGAACAAGACGGTCTCCGGTGCCCCGACCCCTCGCAAAATGGACTCCGCCTGCGAAGTCAGGTGGTTAGATGAAATGAAGCACGCCACACGGATCGTCGTTCGGGTCCCGACGTCGTTCTCGAAGCCCTTAACGGGGGCGGCGTTCATCCGAATGACGGCGTCAGCACTATCTATTTCAGGTCCAGAATTTTTGCCCAGGAGCTGACCGGAACTAGAAACTATTGCACATGTGTTGTATCTATCTGTAAAAGGCTGAAGGGAGAGAAGGAGAAATAAACATATTCATTAGTCAAAATCATGTACAGATATTTACCAAAGTATGTGTAGAATTAAAAACAAGACAAATGCGACTGTGTCTCCTTTATGACCCCGCCTTGAATTCAGTATAGGAAATGGATAGATTTATTTGTGACATATCACAATGGAAACAAAAATTCTATCTCTTGTGGTTCTTGAGATATTGTGATGAAAAGGCTGTATCTAAAATTTCTGGAAATTGACCTCTGTGACTTTTGACCTACATGTAGTTACTCCTAAATCCAATCAGATTCTCTTCCTATGGTGATACATACTATCATCAAGTTTGAAGTTTATTTATCAAGTGGTTCTTGAAAAAAAGATCAAGATCAAACAAAAGACAGGGAGTTAGGATAATCAAAAACCCTCAAGAATGTTCAACCATTTTGAAGGACGGAGTCAAACGAAATTGTTGAAAAGTCCAAATTTGTCCCAGACACCCCCCCCCCCCCCTTATATACATGTCAGACTTACCTCACTATCTATAACACTATGGTAGTACTGTACAGTAAATGGTTTGGGTCTAAAAATAAATCTCTCTTTTTCTTTCTCATCAGTTTTGAGGACAGCGTTTTCCTGTGCCACACTTTCTCCTGTCCTTTCATTTGAATTTCCTTTCTGAAATTTAAGATGTGATCCTTTGGCAGGTATTCCAAGTTTTGTTTTCCCAATGGCAGCCGATTCTTTCTCTGTCCTCTCAGCTTCGTCTTTGGCACCATTGTTAGCAAGAGGCACTTTGTCCTTGCGGATATCGTCAGTGTGGGTTCTTTGGCTTTCCATACGACTGGAAGCATTTTGTCCTTTGAATATAAAGTCGTTGGCACGGAGGAGCGGTAGATCGCGCGACTCTTCACCATTGTCGCGTCGCATGATGAGCTGGGCAGTGTCCTTGGACTCATCTCTGATCTTGTGGTCTCCGAAGTAACCAGAGAACTTGTGGTTCAAGAAGGACAGGCAAAGGAGACAGAAGACTGCGGAATAAAGCACCAACCACTTCAGCCGCTGTCGACCATTCTGTGCACAAGATAAAGGGAGGATAACATTGGGTTCTGGTGAAAGAATTCCATTTTGAGCGAAACTGGCTTCAAACAATTTTAAATTTCTTTATCACACAGCAGGGCCCTGTCTTACAAAGAGTTGTGATTGATCCAAATCAATCTAGTCCTCCAATCAATCGCAAGTTTGCAGTCTCCTATCTCTTATGTTCATAGTTGCGATTGATATCAACTCTTTATAAGACGGGGCCCAGATAATAATGACGATAATAACTGTTTCTTATAACAGCATAACCAACCAAAGTGCCTGTACAGTATTATTACCCCGGTCACTGGATAGGCTGTTTAGACCACAAAATAACAATCAAAGTCAAACTAACAAAAAAATATTGGCAATCACTTTGCATAATTGGGATATGAACTTTAAAAGCAAAACAAAACAAACAAAACAAATGAGACAGGCTCAATACTTTCACATGATAAAATAATTACACAATTTCTCTTTAAAATTCCTGTTATTTTATCAAAGAATACATACTGGTATGTACAGCAAAAATGTTCTAATTAACCTTGATCACTATTCCACATTTTCGTTGCATACAAATAAAACAATAATTTTATTTTCAACCTCAAAACTGCTTCTTTTGTGGGGGCTTAGACTAGTTATATCTTAACTTTCATTTCTATGGGTGGCAAAAGGTACATGTACATGTGTATTGTCAGTATTCAGTGCATTTTTTTTTCACTTTCAAATTATAAGCTGCATAATTTACTGCATTACAGAACAGAATTTTAAATAGAATATTAAATAAAATATTCTGCAAGGTGTCTCTCAGGGGTATTAAAGCAGTAATTGGATATTATCTGCCTTGGATACAACAAGTTGAATCTGGATTTAAGAAGAAGATGATAGTTGGACTGGCGTACATGTACTAGACAGGGTGCTGGATATTCACAGATGCTCTAATTAATGCATCTTGTAGTTCAACCTTTCCGTGATGCACAGTCAAGAAATTCTGTTCATCCCTGTGAATTATGGATGTGGACATGTGGTAACCATGGCAATGATAGAGCAAGCAAGATGTCTAAAATGAAGCTTATTATTTGTACTGTACTGGTAGTGGGTGGCAAATACATGTACAGGTACTTGCTATAGGGGGAAGTATCTTTAATCTGTTTAAGAGATTACATGTACAGGAAATTATGTACAGATCATTTTCTGAATGCAATGTCTTGAGAATACATGTACAGTACATGTAGCTAAAAATACTCTGTGAACAGATGGATACCAGTACAGTACATGTACTTGTGTTCAGTGTTATAAATACCTTTTTTCTTCCAGTTCTTAGGGATCTATTTTACATGTATTTGCCACTAGAATAGTGAAATTTCCTTTCAATCATTTTTATGGATTTTATAAGAATGAATCAGAACTTGTAACAGACTTCTTTTCCCTTAATTTTGTATTTGTTCACAAATATAAATTATAAGCATACAATCCAAATGCAGAGAACACAAATTCTTGAATATACAATGCTCTGTATAGATCTACATGTAAAACCCATTAGATTGATCAGCAGTTCTAAGATTTGGAGAGGTTTAAGAGGTCAGTGTCAAATAACTGGTAACCAAGGACAACCGACAGGAAATATCATCAGACAAATGACCCCAGTCGACCTCGACTGTCCTAGATTGAGGCAAGCAATTCTGTTGTTTTACACCATCTGCAAAGTTTTGTTTTCCTTTTTTGTGTATGGTAGGGGAAAGAGGTTGTCTGGGGTAGTATTCTGATGACTATGTCATCTTTTATGCTACTGAAAAGTAAGTTAACTGCCATAAACAAGATATAAAATAAAATTATACAAAATCATATACGACCTCAGTTCACCTCTAGTGAAGATTGAGGCAAACAATTCTGATGTGACATCTGCAAAGTTTTGTTTTTCAATTTTCCTGGGACCTTGGGCAATATTCTAATAACTACAGTGAACTGTCATATAAACAAAACAAACTTGCACTGAATAAACACCGACTATTGGAGCTTGGGCAGATGCCTCTCTTGATCTACATGTATGTGCGCAGCTACATATGTAGGTGCAGCTACGTGCAGACATTAACCAATGACATGGGGTTATTTACATTTGTTATGACAATTACTGTCATGAACACAAAAGAAAACACTGTTGAAGAATAATAACCTACAGCGCACAGTGTACATGTACATGTATAGGTCAACATGCCTGTGAACATACCATGACCTTGAATCCAAATTATACGCTCAATTAACATCAATCACTCGTCAAAGTCGTCAAACTATTTGTCAGCCATTGTCAGCAATTACCCAGAAGGAAGTGTTATTGAGTTACATGTACAGTATGGTATAAGAAACTTATACTGTTTTCACACTGGCAATATTTTGCTTAACCCCGTAATATAGGTGGGGTTCAGGGGGGGGGGGCTTAGCCCCACCTATAGTACGGGGTTAAGCCTATTCCACTTTCTGTTCAGACTGGCTTTTACCAAAGTGGGCTAAAGTTGGCTAACCCCACCTATAGTACGGGGTTAACTAACCCTGCAAAATAGCAGGGCTAACTCTGCAATTGTGGTGCTAACTCCTGCTAACCCCGCAATTGCGGTGCCAAGCAAATGAATGAGAACAGAAACGAAAAATAGTCCGGTACTACGCAATGGAGCGTATTGCAGCTGGCCAGATGCGAAGTATGTCCAATCATAACATTCACGATATCCGGGGTTAACGAATTGCAGTGAGAACAGCGTGAATTTTCTTATTCCGGAATAGGCGCTAGTACGGGACTAATAAACAGCATGTGTGAAAAGCCAAAAAAATAGTCCGGGGTTAAGGATAGTACGGGGCTAAGCAAAGTACTGGGTTAAGCAAAACCAGTGTGAAAAGAGTATGAAAGAACTTGTATCATCGCTGCTACATCCTTGTAGTTCCCTACTATCTGACCATGAAAACAAAGTTCTAACCAGTACAAATTGTCTTTTGTATAGCTATCCTTCACATAGCATTGTAAGATAATGAGTTAGGCGAAGACTTGCCCATTTTAAGTTTTTGATTGTTTGTCATCCTTTCAAACTAAAGACATCTAACAACATTTGGAAACGCAAAAAGAAATGCATGTACACTGTACATAAAACTTGTGCACGTGCAGATAATGAAAGCATATGATGTTCCAAGACATAAAGAAAATTCGAAATTGTATAGTTCTAACTTCTATTTCAATATGGGGGTGTCAAAAAATGTTTCTTACAAAGCATCCTATGGCACAAAGTAAATTTTTACTTTTTATAGTACAAAACAATTATAGGACCCTTTGCATGCAAAATGAGTTGCCTCTTTGTGTTTGATCAATAACAACTTTAAAACAGTGTAACTACTAACTATCGCATCATTTTTAAAGATTTTCATCCAAATGGTTACTGGTCCATATACTGCTTTTAGGGTTTTTATGTTAGGGTACCTCACTACCTCCTCCCCCCTCCCCCCCCCCCCCCCCCCCCCCCCCTCCCCTATACATGTTAATCATACTGCCAAACCAACTCCAGGCACTTAAAACTGACTAATTATTTGCCACTTAAGGTAATGCACCTTTTCTTCTTCTTCTTCTTCTTTTTTTTTTTTTTTTTTTTTGGGGGGGGGGGGGGTTCTGGTGTCAATCTCATCAGGGTACTAATAAGAATAAGACACTCACGAGATGTCTGGTGCAGCGAGTGGCTAGAAGATCTACGATGGACCATGCCATCCTACTTCTCCATGTATCATCTCATCCTTACAGACTGGTAACGGTAGGCAATCTCCATCTCACCAAAGAAACTTCTTGTTTGGGTCTGAAGATTCTGGTCTTGATGATCTGGAAAGATATTCAAGACAACAAAGAAAGGTATAAAACTCATGTAGGCATAAAAGTCACTTACACATAAAAGAAAACATATTTCAAACACATAAATAGACGAGTTTGTAGTAAACACATGACTCAATTAATTTGAAATCTCTATATGTTTTACACAAGGAGAAGTGATGAAAATGCATTTAATAAAAGATGATCTTGAATTCTGGCAACAAGCAAACAATAAGTCTAACAAAATGAAACACACATATTGTCAAAATTGTAAACCGGTCAGTAGTCACATATAAAAAATATGTATATATTTAATACATATAAATAGACCAGTTTATATATTGAGGAAATGTATCAGCTGATCCAAATATTCACAAATGTTTCAAATATGAAGAATTCCAAAGTACTCAGAATTTCAGGAATAACAAATACAATCCCAAAGTGATAGAGGTGCCAGAAGATAATCTTGATTTCTGGTACATAAAAACACATTCCATCAAAATGAAACACAATCACGAATACATAACCGACTATAATCAACAGGAGCTGTCACATGATTCTAAAAGAACGTGAAATTATTGAATTAATCGCAAAAACAAGGCAAGGATATACCGCATTTATGAAGGCTTTATGTTGTCACGCATGTACTGTACACATACATGTACATGTAGATCCCAAGCTTAGTTTTTATACCTTATACAGTGTGTCCACACACAAAACAATTTATCCCGAAACTCTATAATGAAACGAAGTATATTAGAATCATCGTATAAATTTTAGGGTGTCCACACACAAGAAACGTTGTTTAAATAATCATCGTATAAATTCCAGGATGTCCACACACAGAAGAAAGTAATCCTGAAACTCTACAGCGAAATGTTGTATACGTGTGCAGTTTGCTAATGCGATCATGAAATGGAAGCAGAAATGAGAGGTCAGGCCTCCTTTCGCTCGAGGTCACGTTAAGCCCCGCCCAGTTATACCGTTCTAGTTAGACTAGTTATACTAGTTACGTCCACACACAACATATTCCGTGATTAGGCGTGATTATACGCCGTATGACAAAACGATGTAATACTACGTATAGTTAGTAAGCGTCCACACACACAATTTCATTGTATAACTATCCCGAAACAGTATAACTATCCCGAAACGGTATAACTAATCACGCCTAATCACGGAAAATTTTGTGTGTGGACACGGGGATAGTGAATATCTTATGATTCAGAATGCGATGAATTATACATCATGGATCACATTACATGAGCAGAAGGGCAAAATCACAAAAAATTTAATTCGAGCATTTCCGTTGCAGTATGCATGTATTGTGCCATTCATGAATAACAACAATCTAATTGAAAAAAGCAATCTTTAAATCTTTAAATTGAAAAAAGCAATCTTTAAATCTTTAAATTGACAATGCAGAGTGGATTTTCCAATCAATTTTCTGCTTATTTCAATTCTCACTCACATTTAATATGCATTTTGATTAAGAACCATTGGTGCCAACATGAGAAAGCAAAGCTGATTTATAGGTATTTGGACCTTCAGAAAACTCTGAACTCTTATTGGTATCAGAGAAAATCAAATAGCAGTGGAGATCGAGCCATTTACATTGCACAAACACACTTTGAAGGAGAGTAATTCCTTGTTTGCCAAATTGATTTTGAATAGAAAGAGAATTGCATCTTTAAACAAAGAGGACTTTTCTGAATGGTTAACTCTTTGTTCAAGCAGAAGGGTTCGACTTGCAATGAGTACCAGAGTATAAGCAATGAGTTACATGTACGTCACTGGCAAGTGGTCACTACAACATACTGAACTCATTTTCCTGGTCTTGGCAAGCTGTTCATAGCATACATTCTCAGAGTATACATTACAGATGGTTAGAAACACATCTCAGCACCAGACAAAACCTCTCCCGTTTGTTATAAACTCAGATACATCTAAAAGGGCAAGTCCAAATATTTAGACAACTATCTCATACATGTCGTCGTCATGTATGTGTTATTGACAAAAAAATGATTATTGGATCTGATCCAAGCTCCAGTAGAGCCATAAAGCTGATAGAATCCTTTTAATAACATCACGTATATTTAATAATGTGATGATGTCAGTACCATCTGGGACAAAATACAATGTACATGTACATGTACATACATGTACCTATACACCTTAAACTTGTCCATAATAAGCCTCTGAATTCACATTTATGTTTGTTCCTGTTAAAATGGTTGAATCTGTTGTTGATATAACATATTCTGTAGCTGATACAGTGTGTACATGCATTTGGTATCTAAAGCAATTGACTCTATGATAGAAAAAAGAATATTATAGACCTTTTATCAGCAGTAGATTTTTAGCCAAAGATGACAGAATATTGAATTTATACGGGCAATAGTAGTATAGAGGTATGTAGTTATTGTACAGTAGGTCAGAATGATACCGGTAGTTGTTTTACCATATATACACTATGCATACAATTACAATCTACTCTTGTACTGTGCATGTACTTTATGCACATCTACCAGTACATGTCAACTTGACATGTATATTTACAGGTAGCATTGAGCATACTTGGCTTCACAGTATTAATTCCATTACGAGCTTAAAATGTGCAAATTAAGCTTGTCACCACTGGCAACGGCAACACACTGACATGTACATTATTCATCAACGTGTATCAACTTATTTGTTCGAACGGTGCAATGTTTCTTTCAGTTTTCACTCTCCATGAAAAAATGGTATACTGTGTTTATACACCCTTCTTGCTGATGCTCCCATGTCTTGTCTATGTTTAAATGTCGCATCTAACACCAATGGAGAAACAAATCTGTATTATATACATGTATGGATAATAAACTATGTTCTTGAATATCGGAAAGAATTTGACAGAGCGTCAGCAGATCCCTTTTCGTAGGCAAAGGGTGAAACCGGAAACAACATACCAAGCTCCCAAAATAGACCAGTGACAGTGCTTAGCAAGAAACTGAATCCTGCTCCAAGGAGGAATGACACATCTGTCTAAGAATTTCTTCTTTCTATTCTTTATCCTCACCTGTTTCAAGTTTGCATTCCATTATATTTGTAATGCTCGGTAAATGAAACCCCAGAAACCAAACTTTAAGGTTATATTTAACCCTTTATTGAGTGAAACTGAAAGTGATTGAACTGAAGATCATTTAAATTGCTGTTGATATTACTTTTCTTTCATGTTTAATTGATGGCTCAAATAAAAAATAATGAGCACTTCATCAATATAGCCTTAAAGGTACTATGTCCCATTTGCAGGTCAAAAAAATGAAAAAGTTAAATTCCAACTGCATTTGAAAGATGATACTAATTTAGAACTTCCCTAAAAAAGGTGGGGCTTGAAAATGCCTTTAAGTGGGAAAATAACGACTATTAGTTGTCAAATTGACTTTAGGGCTATAGAGCCCAAAAGTAATAGTCTTGATTTTCAGACAATTGTACCGAATGGTGATACGTTTTATGCTGCGCAAAGATTCAATCAGTTTAATCTTGGCCATCACAAGAAGTGGGTTATTGATGTAGACAAATGCTCATGTACCCTTTACAACTCTTTTCATGTATGTTATTACCAAAGAAGAAAAAAAGCCAGTCAGTCACTCAATAGTGTCTGACAGTGAAGTCTAGCAAGTAAACGGGTTTCCTTGCATAATTTGAATATGAGGACACTGCTAACGTTTAAATTTCACAGATAGGACATACATGACATATTCATAATTCCTGCAAAGTTCTACAGCATTTGAGGTTGGCTGCAAAAGGGACATAGTATCTTTAAAGTGCTAGTTCAGATCATTACCGGTACTTTTAATGTTTCCAAACATTGAATTTGATAACTTTGACCAATCAAAGTTTCACCTTTGTAATAATGACAAGTTTTTAAAATCAATGAACCTTCTCTTTGAGGTCAATTTGCTCTTTATTTTCCATCTAATAAAGAGAAAGTTGTTTCCTGGTAAAGATGAAAAGTCAGTTGTATGCTTTTCATTCTCTATACAGTATGTTAGTATGGAAGAAGATCATAGTACAAATATACCCTGTAAAGGACTGGTCTTTAAATGCCCGTAATCAAAATATGACCCCCAAAATGACCAATTTTTTATGCTACATGTTGTATATTGCATACATGTGTGTGGTGTCTCACATACTAATTTCTCTTTCCACATACTGTTTTCATATTTTTTAGCAAGATTGAGTGAATATTTCAGGATTACATGTACATAACCTCAAAACTTTACAGAATACACCAATTCTTATAAAGGCCTACAATATAATCATTTTAATGTGTCCATTTGCTTCTAGGCAGTTTCTTTTACAAACTGAATGCATAACCAGTACTCAGCTTCATCTTTACATTGGCAAATGCAAGTCTACCTGCATAAACAGAAAATACCTGCTAGTATACTTTTCTTGCATAAGCAGGGAACATGTAACAAGATAAATCAATAAATGCAGGTGAACCATTTCTTGCAGCCATCCATATTCACAGGACCATGCAAACCTCCTTTACTGTACATCTCTAGGTGCACTATGATAGGGAGAGGCCCTTTCCAATGCTGTTATTGATTAACGCAAGCTCATCAAATAAAGACAGCTTTGAAAGAGTGTGGATAGCATGGGGTGCATCCAGCTTATACATGTAGCTTCATCCCTATCTATAGTACAATTCTAATACATAAGAGGTACTCGACTGGAAGAAAACAAGGGAGGCAACTACCATACTTGTACTACAAGAGAGTTGTTTTATAGCTGTTTCATTACAATATTTGCACAAAATAGGCCTACTAACAACATGCAATACATGAACATGTTTTAAAGCCTTTACATTCAAAATGTCTGGTAACAAGGACAGGATTATATTTTTTAATTACACCAAAAAGAAAAGTGACCCCAATAATTGCTTGAGAAGTTTTCGTTTTGGTCAATTCCGTGTGTTATCAGAAATTTGAACCTGTCTCATCCAAGCTTTCGGAACAATAATATTT